ATATATAAAAACTATTAATAAAATTATATAATTAATATGTTTTATGCATCAATAGAAATATAATTTATTAGCATATTCTTATGAAATCTAATAACTATGTTAAATACATATAAGATTGGTTTGCCAATTCATATAACAATTAACTTTTTAAATAATTTATTCTTTTCAATTGGTTTTCTTTTTGAAATTTAATTAGAATTATGACTGGGTTCTATGAGTACAGATGGTTTTTGCCAATACTATTGTCAAATATATATTTAAAATGTAATAGGTTAATTAAAGTATTAAGATATCATTATAAACAAAAAGCTTTTATACTATTCTAATACTTTGACAGAGAGTATCAATCTAAAGAAATACAGTATAATTTTGAATATTTTTCATAAATTTCTACTCCCATACGGTTTTGAGGGGATGATAATAGTAATTTGATAAATACTTATTTCAATTTGATTTAGAAATAATTAATAAAAGAAGGTTTTATTGTCTTAAAAAAAACTATTAAATCCACTACTTTTTAATAATTAATACTATTATATATACTCTCAAAATACTTATATCTAATGTTATTTTCTAATTTAAGGAATAAAAACTAAACTTACTATGTATAAAATTGATGATAATTGATGAATTTAAAATTTAATTTATTAAATCTAAATTTTATTGTTTAAAAAATGCAATCTTAATTAATATTAATAAAATACTCAAAATAGAATCATAAATAATTTTTGATAATTTAATTATTCAAAAAAAGTATATTAATTACCAATTAGAATTTTTAATAAAATCATTCAAGGCTATATTAATAATAATTTAATTATGTGATGAAAATATCAATAAAGTAAAGATTAAAACATTATATTAAAAATATATCTTTTTTGATGATAATTAATTTTAGATAATGAAAATAGTATAATAGTGAAATTAAAAATTATTATATTTAATGAATTAAGGTTCAGAATAATAAACGATTGATAAGGATTAAGAGATCAATTAAATAAAAAGGGAGCTACAAGATTTTAAAGAAAGGGAAATTAAATATAAAGAGCTTTCTCAACATTTAACCTAATTAGAAGAAAGGTAATTGTAATTATTTATTAATAGGTATAATGATTTAAAGGATTAAAAGTCTGAGAGTGAGTAATTGTTGAAAACATAGATTGAATAATATCAAGCAATGGTGAAGATATAATCTAAGGAGATAGAAAATTTGAAATAATAAGTTTAAGAATTGGAGGATGAACTCGAGGAGAATGAAGAAATATAAAAGTAGCCAAATAAACTAATTGCAGATGAAAATCTTGTGATTAGTAAACTAATTAGCGAGAAAACATTATTAGATGAAGAAGTAAAAGGATTAAAAGAAAAGATAAAATAGTATCAAGTTTAAATAGATTTAGAATAAATCAGGAGTATGATAGTATATCTAAAGACTTCTTTACCATAAGCAAATAAACTGACACATTTAAAAATTAATTTACTTAGGTAATGAAATTTTACAATAAAAAAAGATTAAGGATGAATTAGCCTCCAAAAATTAAGAATTGAAACATACAAGAAGATAATATTAAGAGGCTTTGAATTACATCAACCAACAATAACCAAATTCTTCTTTCCTTAATAATTCAGCAATTAATGAATTATAATAGGCTAATTAATAACTATTAACTCAAAATCAATAACTAAATAGAACATTATCGAAATTGAAATTAGATTTAGATCATGTAAAGAAGGCTCATTAAGAGGCTTTAATTGAAGCTGATATGTTAAGTAGAAATTTAGAATAATCATAATTATTTAGTGAATCGACAAAAAATCAAAAAAAGGAGGTAAATAAATAAATAATATTTAGATCTCCTAAGAGCTGGAAAGAGTTATAAGGATTGAGGAATAACAATTTTAATAACGAATAATGTTATTAAGATCTCTAAAAGATGAACTATAGGATGCAAAGTCGAGAAGTTTGTTGAATTTGAAAAGATATAATTATTGATAATAATTTGTATTAATAATAATGGAAAAATTACCACAATAATTTTATGAAATCATTATCAATACTACTTCTTCAGTAGATTAGAGTTATATAAAGCAATTTTAAATTGAGAACCATCAAAAATAATGATGCAGTTTAACTCTTGATAGGGTTTTAATCATTTGAATAAAAATGATGATAAATCATGTTTATATTTATATGAGATAGCTTATGCCTTAGGGTAGTCAGATTTAAGCTAGAACCAATTAACAATTAATTTCTCATCTTAATAATTAGTGATAATAAACAATTTGATGTTGTAAACCATGAAGCTGTTGAGGCATTTGCAAAAACCAATCAAAAAAGAGGCTTTTGTGATTTAGGAATGTCAATGACCATCTAAATATCTTATAAGACACTTGTATAATTGGTTTGGAAAAGGCACGAACTAGAAGATTTATATGGATGAAAATATCTTGGAATTAGAGAACCTGCTGATCCATTTGAAAAATTAGATAAGAGCCCAATAGAATATATTTTGGATGATTAGACAAGCTTATTTAATAAATATATAGTACTTTATTATTTAAGAAATAATGCTTAAACTTATTTTTATGAATTTAATCAATTATTAATATGTAATAAGCTTGGATAACCTGATGTAGATTTAAAATATATTATAATTTAGATTTTTTCGGTAATTGTTAAGTTGGAATAGCACCAAAATAAACATTAGGCTTTGATTAATATGATAAAGGGTGAAAAATTAGTCAGCTATTTTTTTGCTAATCATGAAGCTATTGCTGCTTTTTAGAGAGTTAGTTTGAATAAAGAAATTACATTGAAGATTTGGAATGAGTATGCAAAAAGTCCTGATTAGATATTTAGAGAAACTGATATTATAGTTATTAAATATATAATGTTGAATAGAGTGTAGGAATTATCAATATGATAATTAATATTTTTTTATGTAATCGTAACCTAAGACAGGATCTATTTATCATTGTTTATCTCCATAGAATATTAAACGTGCGGTGAATAAGATTCAATGTCGAGAATAATAAAGCAATCCTTGTGTTAGATTGAATAATTAGGATAATCGACTCAAATAATTCCAAACTCTACTAAATTCATACATGTAGAGTAAATCACCGTCTATTACAAAAACTATATAGAGTCGAAAGAGTTTGAATGAACCTAGCATTAATAATATAGCTAGAATTTCAGTAACTCCATAGAAAAGTGATATTTCAATTGCACGCAAATAAAATACTGAGCATAAGGAATTCTTATTATGCCAATCCATTTCAAGTTAAACTTCTGATTTTGGTCCTTCAAATCAATTTAAAATGTAGTTATAGTAAATACAACAAAAAGTACGCGAACGCTTCAAAAAATATGAAGAAGAAAAAAAGTAATTTCATGAAGAGAGAAAACTCTTTTTAGAAGAAAAGAAACAATTAATCTCAAGAATACAATAATTAGAATTATAAGTTTAAGAATTGACCAAAAAAAAAGAAGCATTAGATCAATCATTTGGTTGATATGCTACTAACAATTTTGTTTATATAAATATATAATTTAACAGTTATGAATACACAAATTAAAGCAACAAGACAACCATTATCTTAAATTGATTTTAATTAAGATTTAGATAATTGTGGTACAACACCTAAACATAAATAATTCAAAACTGCTATTACACTCAATAGTGATTATAAGAATAATCAAAATTATAATGTTCAATTCAAGGTTAAATAGTAAAATCAACCTATGGATTAACCTAGTATTAATAATGCAAGTAGACTTAATGAGAATAATGCAATTTTCATGAGTCCTGCACCACTTCGTAGAAATACTTAATTTCAAATATAATAATAATAATAATAACAGCAGATCACTTCACCATTGTAGAAAAACTATAGTTAGAAGCACTTTTAACCTAATTCTCCAATTACAAAACATAATATATAATTTAGAGGAGTTTCTCAATAACCTTTTAATTAAAATGTATCTCATACAACAACTCAAAAATTAGAATCAGATGTTCAAAATTTGAAGAATTAGAATCATGCATTATAATAATAAATATTTTAATTAGAATCTAATATATAAAGAGGAAATAGTACTCAATTCATTAAAGAATTAGAAAACAAAATTTTAATGCTTTCAAAATTAAACGAAAAATTAAATTAAGATAATTAACAATTATTAAAAATAAGTGATGTTGAATAACTGAGAATAGAGAAAGATCATTAATCTAAAAAATTAGAGGAATTAGAAAGTCAATATGAAAATTTATTATAATAATTTGAATAATTTGATTGTTAAAAATTGAATGAATTACAGTAAATGAATTAAGAAAACAAGATAGAAAATTTAATAGTTGATCTAGAAGATAAGATTACTGGATTAATAATTGAGAATGAAAAGTTGAATTAATAAATTTAAGAAGGATAGAATATTGATTAAAATATTGAATAATTATAGTTAGAAGTGCAATAACATTAAATTACATATTAAAAATTGAAACATGAAGAGGTTTAATATAGATTTAAATATGATACAGCAAATTATGATGAGAAAGTAAGCAAGAGACATTAGTTAAATGATAATAGAGATAAAGTAATAGAAAAAGTATTAGAATTAGTATTATTAAATAGATTAAACTCTTGGAAGAAGAGAATTAAAAATTGAGAGGATTATTAAGTGATGTCGATTATGAAGAGGAGATTAAGGATCTGGAGGATAGGGTAAATCATTAATAAATGATGTTAGATTCGAGTGATAGCATAGGATAATAAAAAGTTAGAAATGTAATTGCTATAAAAATGATATATATAATGTTTCAGCTTATTTCAAAAATTAATTCCGAAGGTCTTGATTTTATATGAATTATTTAATAAAATGAAGAGTTGTGATTTATGCAAAAATGGATCAAGGAGAAAGATGAGAGATTACTTGCAGGAGAAATACTTTGAAGCTTTTAATTTCTACTTTGCAAAACCTATCAATGAAATAATTGCATAGATTCCTCACGCCCCTCATGTAATATATTTTAAGGATTATGTAATCTTAGATGAGCGGATGGAATATTTGAAAAGGTATATGGTGTTGGTAATGTTATATTACAAGATTCTACAGCTAAGAGGAAGTTAAGCCACGTGTTGATATCCTTACAGAGTTTTATACTTAGAATTACAAGCATATGCATCCAAATTTATGTGTAATAGATGCTCATAAGATCATGAATAAGAGAAACAATAGATATGATAAATTGTTTTATTAAAAGGATAACGAATAAAGTCAGTAATAAGTAATTAGTCGGCAAGTGTTGAATTCAAAATTGACAGAGAATATCAGTTTCGAAACACAAGAACATGACATTTATGAGGAAGGCACTTAAGAAACTACTAAATAAGGTCTTGATTTAAAGGGATTGCAGATTATCAAAAACCTTTAACAATTAAATCGATCAGAATAGTCTGACATCACACTGAAAGATTGCATTATGCAAGTGAATCAATTATATGGAAAACATAAGAAATAATCCACATATTCAAAGAGCATTAAACAACGCAAATAACCAGATAGCTATAAGAAAGGTATAACAAAGTCTATTATAGGGACTAATTCTAAAAGCGAATCTAAAATTTTATCGAATATTAAATCAAATAAGGAAGAACCCTTAGAATTGGGAAATGGGGTTGAACAATTCAATGATTTTGATGCTAAACCTAAATTGACAAGAATGTAGAGTGATTCATAAACGATATAGAGAATGCTTAAGGAATATTAGAAGATGAAACAATTGAGAAATACAGTCTCATCCGATTTGTTACCTATGAGTACTTCTGTTTAAGGATTTTAAGGTTAATAAAAAAGTATTAGATAAGATCATAATAATAATAATGGGAGTATGCATAGTAGTACATCAACTAAACAAGAAGCACTTAAAAAAGTATATTAACCTTTGCCCAAGAAAATTACAACTAATTAAATTGATAAAATTGCCAAGGGAGGTTGTTTAACAGATAGAACTTATAAAAGACCTCCTCCGATTTCTGAGGATCTTATGCTTAAGATACATGATTAAATAAAGGGATTGAATACTGTTGAAAGTAAATAGAAAGTTGAATTTAAATATATGATTCCATCATAATATAATTCATAATAAAATCAAAAATTAGTAAGCACTAAAGCTAAATCATCAAATTCTAAAAAAATAATAAGTGACTTAGGCACTAAATCATAACATATAAATAAATAAACCACATAGAAGACTGATGAAATTGTTAAGAAATATATTTAATTTGCTTAATAAACAATGAAGAAAAAGTTTGATTTTAAATTAAACTTATAAGGATTAAATGAGGAACCTTAAGAAGAGGAAGTTTGTAATATATATATTTTATAATCCATTAAGCTAGCAAGCGAAACAATTTTTATACAGAAAGACACAGTCAAGTATAGGATAGAGAACAATTCAATTCTCATCGAAAAATATTATAAAAATGAGAATTATTTAAATTATTATTATAAAATTAAATTGAGTCATTTTTATATCAGAATTCAATCTCTTTACGCATTTAATTAAATTTAAATCTTCAATATATTCAATAATCAACACAAATATTTTTAACAATGAATCCTATTCCTCAAAAAGAGATTGTTCAAATACCTAAATTCACAGTTGTAGGTTTAAGAAGGAGAATATACTTAGCAAAGGAGGCAGATCAAGAAAACAATACTTTTAGCTTAACTTATAAGGAATTCTTTTCAAAAAAACTTAATGATAGTATCCCAAATAGAGCATATCCAGGAAGAACTTATTGTCTCTATTATGATTTCAAGGATTTCTAAGATAGATCCCAATTCAACTATTATATATTAGTTGGTGAAGTGGTGACAGAAGTAGGTGCTATTCCTGAAGGAATGGAAATCTATTAGGTGGAAGATTCAAGTTATGCCAAATTTTAAGGAGGACCAGGACCTATACCTGAGATTGTTAAACAAACTTGGAGCTCTTTGCATAAGATAAAGCCAGAAGAATGGGGAGGTAAGAGAACCTATAAGACAGAGTTTGAGGTTTATAGGGAAGGACAAGAGGATCTTAAGAATATGAAATTTGAATTGTATATTGGATTAGTGATTGAATGATTAAAAAAATGATTATTGATTATGTTAAATATATTATTATGTTTTAAGATAAATATGGAAAAACTGTTAGTGAGTTCAATTAGAAGTACAATATTGTAGCAAATCCTTTCCAATTAAGATTTGAGGAGGGATTGTTAAATTACAAGTACAATTCACTATTGGGGTAATTCTAAGATTGCCTTTTACAAGATGTAATGATATTTTAAGATTTAAAAAGATTCGAGCAGCAATAGTGACAGCATAGAGAGGTTATTTGTCAAGGAAAGTGTTGAAACATTACTTCAAAGAGCTTCCATAATAATTACGAGCAGAATACTATGGCTCATTGTTAACATTGTATAAAGTAGTTGAAATCCGAAAATATAGGAATCGCTTCGACAGCAATAATAGAATATGTTCTATTTCTCTGGTATGGGCAGTGGGATGAAGGTGGAAAAGGTTACTTGGCCATTCGTTGAAGGTTTCGGGTTTTGCATTTGGATTCAAGTGGAGAATATAAATTATGAATTGTTTAATGAGTAGAACATGGGAGTTCAAAAAATAATAAGTGTTCATGGACAAGGATAACAAGGTGGTGGTGGATTAGAATGTTTCATTTTGAGAGGCAGTGTCTATTATAGGATAATACCTGCAATATATTAGGAACCAGATAATGGGGCTATTTTGATAGGTCAATTGAAGAATGGAATGAATTTCATAGGTATATCACATGAATGCCAAAAGAAATTCACTTCTTCACATTTAACTGTAATAATATTGTTTTGAATTTCAGTTATACTTCAATAATGAACAATCTAAAACTATGACATTAGATTTTCCTCGTTTAAATCAAACCATAGCTTTGACTAGATTTACTATATGTGAGAATCTCTTTGGTACAGCTTAATGCATTATCATAATGAATTAATCATCTACAAAGTATATAAATTATAAATAATACAAATTAGAATAAAGACTATTCAATCAGTTTATGGATAATTATAGATGGATTTTAAGTAATTAAAAACATTGCCAGCTTGTTTGGATAAATATTTTGAGAGAATTATGTCTATTTATATTCCTGAATTTACAGATGGGAATCATGTAATTGATGTAATGGGAAATTGTAATGCTACATTATTGACAAAATCTGGAGGTGTTATGGCAGATAAAAATAAGTTTCATTTTTCTGGAGGTTTTAAATTATTTTATGTAATGTTACATTTAAGTGGAACACTTTATAAATAAATTAATTAAGCATAACTTAATTTATCTATTATGTTTGAAGTCATTAATCATATTCTTAAAAATAATCATTAATTATAAGCAGAAGCATTTAATAGTTAATTTTTTTTAACTGTTGCATCAATTATTATCAGTTTTGAAAGACCTTTGATTAATACAAAATGTGTTGAATTAATGAGTGAGATTAAATCTATTATTGGAGATAATCGATTATTGGATCATTTTTTTATTCATATTTTATGGAATCCAAAATTACATTAATAATGTATAAGTGATCAAGTGTTTTCTAAATACTTATAATTAGCATGTTAAGTTTATTTACAAAATCCATAACATTATCAGCATTTTATATCATCTAAAGATATTTTAGATATGTTAGTATTTGCATACACTGAAAATTAATGTTGTGATTATCATTTTAATGATTATGAAGAATCATTTCAAATGTAATTTTTAGAAAAGATCTTTTATTTATTTAATTAATAATCTGATATATCTGAACATCTAATATTATTTGATTAATATTTACTATCCAAAATATCTCCTTGTCTTCTATTGTAAATTTTTACCATTTTAAAAGTACTTATTATATTTCATCTTTAGAGTTTATTAGTTGACAATGAAGATTAGGGAATCAAAACCAATTTCATACTCCAAACTTGGGATTAAAATAATATTGTAGATTCATTACTTTTCATATTCAAATCAACACCATATTATGATATTAGAGCAATGATCATATATTTCCTTCATCTTATCTTCCAATAATAATTCCCTAATCATAAACTTTAAACACATTAAGCAATTGAATACATTACAAATTCTATTGAACCATTGATTGAATTAAGTCGTAGTTCTATAGTCTAACCAATTAAAAAAGAATAACCTTAATAACAATAATAAGGAGATTTTGATGAACTTAAAAATCTTGGAACTCAATTTCTTAACAATGATTATGAAAGTGTACCTTAAGCTCCATCTATGACTAATCGTCGTAAACCACCTTAAGGATTCTTTGATAATTAATAAAGACCTCCTCCTCGTGCTCAATCTATCCCTGCTCCTGAAACTGAGAAATCCAAGTCTCCTTCATTTTCTGTTGATTAGAAAGGAAAAAAGAAATTTCACATTAAAATTGATACAGATGCTATTAATGCACTCTATAATTTTGGAGGAGAATAAGGAAAAAAAAATGCATTGTATTTATTAAAAATTCTAAATTAGTGATCACGAAGCATTTAATAAGGAATTAGCAGAAATAAATAGATTGGCAAAGGCATGTCATATGTATATGTAAGGACATAGAGAACCTGAAGAACCATATGTAGAATCTCCAAAATAATAAGAATAATTTATAGAATCTCCAAAATAATAATAATAATAATAAACAGTTGTTAGATAACCTCCAATGTCAACAAAAAATAGTTAAGCACCAAAATAATAATTTTAATAAGAATGTATTAATATTATATTATTACAATTTAGTAACTCAAATAAAAGAAGTTTCTTCTTCTTCCATGTCAATATAGTAAGTTGAATAGGTTTAAAAAAAAAAAATTTAATCATTTGCTTCTGTTTACAATTAACTTATGAGTTGGATGATTGATAAATTAAAGATTGGAGAGAATGAATCCATAATGATAGAAGAGAGAGATTAAATTAAGAATGAAGGAATTATTAATGCAATTATGAAAATTGTAGCTTTTTCTATTGAAGATAATCTTAAAGCTTAAATTTTATAAGATTTACTTTGTCTTTGTAAATCACATTAAGGAAATTCTATACTTATTTTGGGATAGGCAACATTTCAAAATGAATTACTTAAAGTATTATCATCATAAGAGGATCAAAACTTAGTAAGATATTATATTTATTTATTTAGATATATGAAATTGGGAGTCGATTGCATACTACACTTATAGTATAAGTATTGAAATCAGAATTCATTGGTGCTAATTATGTTTATGAATTATTAAAATGGGGTGTAGAATGCAATTAGAAATTAGTAGAAATACAAATGAATGTCATAATTGACTAACTATAGTATATTATAAATAATAATAATAGTGATTTATGTAAGACCTTTTAGACAGATTCTTTATTGTGGAAGAATATTATTTAGACAGCATTATATTTAATAGAATTGAAGTAACATTATCCTTAATTGATAAAGAAATTTAATAAATTTTATGATTTAATTCATAAAGATTACATAATTAATGGCAATACAGAAGGTATTATTTATTAATTAATGAATTTTAAGAATAAATTGACTAAATATAAAAATGTTTCAACCATCCTGAATTAGCATAAAAAGTCTAAACTTTCTTTAATACCAAAATTTAAAATCATTAAATTTATGAAATCATAATTGAAAGTACTCATTAAGACAATCTATAACAATTACTTAATACATATGCTATTACATTAGAGATTTGTTAATGTGAAATTAGTTATGGATTAGCACATATCTTATCTAAGTGTAGGAATCAGTAGAATTTTAAAGAATTTATTAAATTTTTATGTTACATTATTTTTGTTTCAAAAGAGAGGAATTAACCATCTTTATTAAGGAAATTCATGATAGATTTATACTAAGAGTTTGAGACTGTATTAGAAACTCTATTAGCTAAGTCATTTCAAGATGATTCAATATTGGATTAATTGATAGATTAGATCAGTAATAGTAATACTTTGAAGAAAGAGATTTAAATTAAAGTTAACATTCCTTAGTAATGGTCTATGGAATCAATTGTTTCACCATAGAAGGTATTTAGAGATGTATAATAATTGGGTGAAAATAGATATATAGAGATTGAAGAGAGAAAGTCTTAGTGGATTTATAAAGAAAGTGAGAAGGAACGAATTGGAAGAAATAAATATCATAAATCATTGAATTCTTTATTCTTAAATGATGGTTGGCTCTCTTAAGGATAAGGTTGTGTTTAAAGAAATGATTTGGTTTAGGATATAATATAAGAAGAATTTGTTAAAAGTAAGTACTTTAACATTAAAATATCTAAAATGATTACTAAATCTTTTGCTAGACCTTATATAAAGAGTATCCCTATAATTCCAGATATTTTAAGAAATAAACCAGTTTATCAGACTCCTTAAACTGCTCCAATTATTCTTGGTCATGAAATAGATAAATTTGAATAACTTTATGGATAGAGATAATCTACTAATTCTTAAGCTGTTTAAGCAGCTACTCAATTATTGAATATGGGTAAAGCTTTCGGTAACAATATCAAGAATGCTGTAAAGACTATAGCAAATTAAAAGATTTAAGCAATAGATAATTTTAAATAATTTGGTGAGAATACATTTAAAGGAAAGAAGGTTCTTGTTATAAATGGATTATATGTTTATTATGCATTGATGAGTTTAACTAATACTCATATATTATTATAATATGAATTTTTGAGAAGTGAAGGATCACATGCAGCTTTAGGAGTATTTGAATTGAGAGATGATTAGAAATTAATTAAAAAGTATTCTATTTATAATTTGGTTTTGGTGATAAAAAAGAAATATTTATAAAAGAGAACTGCTTTGGAGATATTTTTCATTGATGGGTAATTTATATTTTGATTATTTAATAGGAAATCATTATTTATTAACATTTGTGATCAAAATGATTTGGATGAAATATCTTCTAAATTATTGAATTATCGTAAAAGTCATTAAGCTCCATATTTTAATTAGAGTAAGACTACAGATCCAGTAAAGTTATTAGAGAAGTAAGGATATTTGTAGAAATGGAATAAGTATATAATTTATTATATAAAAAAATAGATAATAAATGAGTAATTTTAAATACTTGTTATTATTAAATAATTTGGCATCAAGAAGTTATAATGATTTAACTTAATATCCTGTATTTCCTTGGGTTATTTGTGAACCAAAAGATGTATAAATAGAATAGGAACCAAGTGTTAAAATATATCCTGAAGGTTAATTTAGAGCAATGTAAAAGACCATGGGTGCATTAGGAAATAATTAAAGAATCAAGAGTTATATAGAAAGATTTGAATAATCTGAATAAGGTGGTGAAATTCCAGCTTTTCATTATGGATCTCATTATTCATCATTAGCTATTACTTCTTAATTCCTTATAAGATTGGAACCATTTACAACAATAGCAAAAGAGATTTAAGGAAATAAATTTGATATTCCTGATCGTCTATTTTATTCTTTAGTTGAGAGTTTCCGATGTGCAACAGAAGATATTGCAGATGTAAGAGAATTGATTCCAGAGATGTTTTGTTTACCTGAAATGTTTCTTAATTTGTAGAATCTGTAATTTGGTAAAACACAAAATGGAATAGTGGTTAATAATGTATAATTACCTAAATGGGCTAATAATAATCCATGGAGATTTGTGACAGGTTAAAGATGTGCATTAGAAAGTGAAGAAATATAAAGGAATCTTCCTGAATGGATTGATTTAATATTTGGATTTAAATAGAGAGGTAAAGAAGCAGAAAAAAATTTAAATATTTACTTTTATGTAACATATGATTAATAACTTACTTTATAAATGATGGAAGAAAATAGATTAAGTATAGAAGCTTAAGTTGTTAATTTTGGAATTACTCCATTATAATTGTTCTTAAAACCACATATTGGTAGATAAATTAATACAGAACATCATTTTGTTTCCAATTCATAAGAATTAAAAGTTTATAGACCATAAAATAAAAAGAAAGTACCTAATACTATGAAACCAATTATTGATTTGTAATAAGCTAGTAATAGAGCTATTGTCAAAATTAAATGGATTTCAGATGTAAGATTGATATGTATCAGAAAAGAAGGTAAAATTGATTATCTTAAATGGTCAAGTCAAACTGATGTTCAAGCCAATTAACCACCATTCTAATGTGGATTAGAAAGAGAAAAATAATTTAATTTTGAAAAACCTTAAACTGAACTATTTAATATTTGGGATGTATCAGCATAATTATCTTCTTACCCTTTATTAGTATTTAATTAAGGAAAATTATTTATATGTGGAGGTTATCATCTAGGTAAATTAATTATCATAGGTGATAATAATCAAATTATTGATATCTATTAAATACATACTTCAACTATTACAACATTAGCTTCAGATAAAAAAGAATCAATAATTATTTCTGGAGATAAGAATGGACATGTTATTTTATGGAATGTTGATAAATAAAAGGATATTTATAAATTACATGCTAAATGTATGTATTTTGATCATTAGAATTAAGTAATTTATATAATTAATTATAATTTAGATTAATTGTATTTATGTTTCTACTAGTATGAAATTATTTGCTACTGGATGCACAGGTGGTTACATTTATTTATACAATTTATATAATGGATAATTGATGAGATCATTCATACATCCAAATAAAAATCCTATCAATTCAATTATTATGAGTAATAGACCTCTATTTTGTATTGTATTCTATTCAGCATATGATCATCAACTCTATAGTTATTCTATTAATGGATTTTTATTGGAAGTCTAATAAGAACAGAGTTCATCTTTGATTGATTGTTAAATTATGAGAAATAATCTATTCTCAGATATTATGGTAATAAATAATATATATATATATATAGGTATATGGTACTGAAAATGGTGAATTGGTTAGAAGATCTTTACCTTATTTATAATAATTAAAAAGATTTTAAATATCAGCTAAATCCCCTGTATTATCAATATCTTGCTCAAAGGATAAGAAGTTTTTCATTTGTGGATGCAATGATGGTGAAATTTCAGTAATGGCAGAACCTCAATAAAATAAATGAATTATATAATTATATATATAATATTTGATTTTTATGAAAAACGTGAACAAATTTGTAATATTGTCATTACTTCTTATGTTAAACTATGCATTAGAAGATATTGATATGAAATACTAAATTGAATAACTAGATCAAAATAGATTTGGTCACACTCTTCTTGATACAATTTACTTATAATTGTAAACCTAAGAACCCATTGAAAGATTAATGGGAACTCTATAATAAATTGAGGATAAATATTATTAAGATTAAAAAGAAGAAGATGTTTCACATAAAGAATATTAAGACTCTTGCACTGTGGTATTAATTATTAATATTTCATATAGGATCTATAAAATTTAGATTAAAATATCAAAGTGAGTGATAATGAACGTATTAAGTTGGAAGCAAGATTGGAAGGTGAACTTTATCCAAAGAGAGAAATCTTATAGAAATTAATTAATTAAAAATAAGGGGAGCTTAAAGAATTCAAAGAAGACTTAAATGAATTAGATTTATAAAGAGAAGAAGAAAATGAAGAGTATCAACATAAAATTCATGAACATGAAGATGTTATTGCTATATTGGTGTAAGCTAGAACATTATTTTCAGAGAATCTATAAACACATGATAATTCATTTATTTAATTGAGTAATGATGGTATAGAATTACTATAAAAACATTTTGGAGCATCTATTAAAAAAGCAAGTACTTATTAATAACATTAATAGGCAAATTCACTTACAGAACATCTTGGGGTAAAATGTTCAAAGCATTAGCAACCATTACTTCTAGAATTCATTAATTGTAAGATTCAGCATAAGTTGAAAATGTCATCTTACTTATTGATTAATTATTAGAATAAGTTCATGATTCTATGGATCTTGAGAAGTTCTCAGAAGAAAAAAGAATTCAAGCATATCAAAAGACTAGAAATTTACTTGTCATTTCAATCAATACTACTGAAAGTACTTTGGCATCAGCAATATCTGATTTGGCATTGTATTATATTTATCATATATTTCAAGAGTAAATGAAGTGATCTAATAGACTTAAGCTAGTCTAGATAATGTGAATTAGAGATTAGAAATGCTGTAATAATCTAGAGATGATAGATTCACTATTTGTGAATAAGAGGCTTAGGATTACTAAGATTCTAGATCATAACGGTAATGATTTGGATCATTACTCTTAGGGATTCTGATAGAGATGTAGTTTCTTAAACAATTGGATTATTGAATAAATCATTAAGAACTTTGAAGGAACAATTAGCATTAAGAATGTCAGCTGGAGAATAATTTGAATATTTTTGATTTAAATATTATCACTCAATTTAATCTATTAAATAGATTAATAAAGAATAAAAAGCAATAGAAATTGCAAGAATATTACTATCTAAACTTAAAAAATACATATTCATAAAAATATTCAAGTGAGATTATAGAATTTTCAATCCAATATAAATGCTAACCAATCTTAATCTGATAATTTGTTTAATATTAGATCTATTTATTGATTTGATTCTAATATATTTTTGCTATGTTGATCCTCTTGTAGTTAAACATTAATCAACAGAAAAATCCTTTCTTTTTTAAAATGATGATTCTGGTCTTTCAGTAATCAAAGCCTTTTTATTCACATAACATATTTTATCAAGAATTTCTTTTGCATGTTTTTATGTTGGAGTCACATAATGATATTCAAAGAGTGGTTTCTTTGTATAAAAATTCTTATATTTTGAGAATCTTGGTTTAAATGAATGAATTGAATCATCAGTTAACAAAAGGTGTGATCCTTCAATAAATATTTTTTATCCATTTGATTAATGTCTCATTTAATAAAATAAAATCTTTTCGTCATAAAATATTATAGTTTATAACTTAAACCATCATATTTTTTAATAATAAATCTATATTGAATTAATACATTAGGATCTTCTATATAAGTATTCAATAATACGAGATATTAGCATAATTAGAATATTCATAATGAGTAATAATAAGTGTGAATTATTATTAATAATTTTGAAATTAATGATATATTTGAAAACGATATTTAGGTTAGATTTATTTAATAAAATGATTGATAAATATATATTTAAACAAAATGAGCTCTATTTCCATTTAAAAACACGTAAATTATGGGGAAGTTATTTTAATTGTTGGTGATTGTCATTTAGTATAATGGAACGTGTAAAATGGAATTTAAATGGAATGGAATCCAGGAGATATTTGGAGAGCTAAAGTTGATTGTTGTTGTTTACCCATGAATTATAGATACGTGATAGTCAAATAAAATAATCGATAGATTGTAGAATGGGAAGATGGAATTAGTAGAGTTTTGAATTCCCAAGAAGATATAAAAGATGCTTGGAACCATATCAAAATAAGAATGAAAGTTAACTCATATGTTGATTCTAAGATGTTTGTAAATTTATATTCAGAAAAGGGAAGATCTAAAATTAGACTTGATTAAATCATGACCGAAGAGAATGAATATGAATATAGAATGGAATTAGATATTCCAAGTAAGTCCATTAATTCCTATGCATATAAATACCAATAAAATCAAATGTGGGAACGAAGTGGAATCAGAGTATTTACTTAACATCCTATTATTAATAATGTTATTGAAATCATAGATTCAGATGTAGACTTTGCTCTCAATTATAATCAATTATTGGACAACATCTATGTGGGTTCATTCCTCTATAGCGAGTAACATTTCAAAAATAAGTTTTTAGTGAAATTCACATTCTATAGAAACTAGGAGTTGAAGCCATAATTAATTTATAAACCACTGAAGATCTGTTAAATAAAGATTTACAAGAGGATTACTTTGATCACATCTAAAAATCTTGTTAATCTTATCAAATAACATATTCACATTGTCCTATACAAGATTGTAATAAGAGATCATTTTTAAAAAAAGGAATGCAAGCTCATTAAATCTTGAAGAAATTGATGGATCAAGGTAAATGTGTCTATATTCATTGCACTGATGGCATTTAGAGGAGCATATAAACAGTCATACTCTATTTAGTATTGGATCTAAATTATTCTCTAGAAGATGCTATCACACTTGTAAAAGCAATTAGGAAGAGATCAAAGCCTTTTAGAGAAGTATTGTAGTAACTCTTATAACAGTGAATGATTTTGTTTGTTATCCGATATTTGTAATTTATTTAATTATTCATTTATGTATATTATTTGTTTGTATTAAATCATTTACCATCATATTAGGTGATATTGTGTTTGAAATGCTCTAATTATTCTTCTGCATGATGTCTGTCCAATATTTATTGATTCAACTTCTTCTCATCTCCATCAAGTCCTTTTCCAAATCCCTATTAAATCATTAATGCAGAAATCTTACCAATACATATTTGGGTGGTTATTTGAAATGTCCAAACTAAAATTAATTATGAATGATACTGTTTCATGTAAGACTCCTGGGTCCATATATGCACAAAAGAATCCAATAGCACAAGTGATATACAACATGGTTCTTCCAAATCTGTAATCTACTGGAGACACCCATCCAAGATGAGTTTGATTATGTCCTTATTGAGCTACAATAATTTATTTCTTAATATTACCTGTCAAATTTTAGTATTTGTTTTTATTAAAGAGCAATTTGAAATTCCTGTTGAAAATGCTAGCTTTTTACATAAAATTAAGATTATATATATATTTATAACAAGGGAAAGATAAAAATATAATTAAAATAATATAAAAGTCACTTTCATTTATTTTCTAATTGAAAAGAATCATCATCCATTTGGGGTTCATCTTCTTCTAATTATTTATTTATTTAAGGTAGTTAAGTAAGTTTGTGTTAGGTTGAAGGAGCACCTACATTAATTGAACCTTACCTTTTTAAATTTAATCAGACTAAATAAGATTGATAAGTATTTTGCCAATTTACAAACTACATGCAGCACAATCAATAGATATTTTCTTATCTATAGATACCAAAGTTCCAAATTTACTTTTATTGTCCTAAATCACAAAGTTACCATCAGTCAATTTAATTGTAGCATGATGTCTAGATACTGTGATGTCTTATGCTTTGATATCACATTAAAATCCTCTCCCCTTGAATATGGGTTAATTGAATTACAATTTTAATATTGTCAATAAGAAGACTATGGATTAAATAGATTTCATTGCATAAATTCTTCTCCTTATTGATGTTCTAATAATAATAATGAGACTATACTTCAACAAGAATATATTACAAATCAGGTCTGTCAAGTGTAAAAAGATCAAAATATTCATCTTCATACTGAACACGTATTGGAAGACCTTCTTTACAAATAGAACATTCATGTTGCTTGTTCCTATTATGAAGTATTAAATAACCATTTAAGAGTCAGACCAAATTGTGTTTCTTCCTTGATTATGTTGGAATCTACCCAATAACGTAGACATTCCAAATGAACAGCCTATCCATTACCTGCACAACGACAGATATTAGTTAGAAAGAGTTAATCCTTGCTCTGTCTTCCTTCCATGAAACAAAACTTACATTAATATGTCAGATTGTTATCACTGAGAAAGGAGGACTAAAATTTGATAGTCTAATTTGAATACTTTAATGGAGCAGGGAGCTTTAAATGTCTACATGTGTTTATTACGTTCTTCTATGACCTTGTACTCACTTTAAATTAATAGTTTATAATTAGTACACTCTTCCCAAGCGAATAATGGAATTAACTACAAGAGGATATTCAGATCCATTGGATGATTTAATATCTTTAACGACCATGAATGGAGGCTGCATTACAGACAACAGGATTTCATAATGATTTTCTAATAATGATGATATATGGATTTGCTTTACTTTATTTACTCACTTTCAAGAGCACATTCTTATTAGGCTACATCTCAGTGCTATCGGTATACATTTAATCTGTAAAATGCATTTCATTATTACTCTCCTCATATATAGTAGTTGAACCTCCTCGAAATTTCCACACTGGGAACGTGTCTGTCTATTCATGATCTATTAGACCCATCCCTTGTTTCTAATCTTATTTGATTTGCACTTCTAAGTTGCTTTTATAGGCTGGCATAATTATAATCATCTTGTTAATTAATAAAAATCGTTAATGAGCAAGGTGTTCTCTCCAGATTAACGCAATCTAGGAGGTCGGCGAATTATATTACAATAGATGCTTCAGCATCTTCATCATGTAGAGACTGCCAAGAGCACTCTCTCTTAAACTAATTCAAGCAGTAAATTACTTCGTCGAACTCCATCTCCAGTTTTCAAATTTCTGGATCAATACAAGGAAGTCCTCAATACATTTGATAAGGTATAAAAAATTCAATAAAAACGACCATCCGTTGAGAAATTCAAAAATAATTACTTTCTCAAAAAAGTCTAAACCACCAATACCGAACATCAAAAGAATTTTGAAAAATGTAAAAAGAGAATCCAAGAAATGAACAACAAGAATAAGACCACTTTGAATCCAGCCCTATTCTTTAGGAGAGTGGATAAGAGTCTAATCAATAAGACTTGTCCAATAAGTAATTAACTTCAATTTAATAAGTGCAGCCACGGCCACAAAAGAAAGAAATACAATATGATATTGATTGGGAAAGCATTGCTAAAAAAATACCATAATTAGCAGATCCTCTTTTTAAGAATAAAATAACTGACTTGATCGTTTCTAATAGGATCTATAGTGATGATGATTATGCATTCCTTGTTTGCCTTATTTCAAGTGTAAATAATGTTGAATAATCCAAAATCATACAAATAATGAGCTAAATATTGAATGAGTTGGGATTGTTGTGATTTTGTTAATTATAATTACTTGTTTTTTTTAAATATATATATATATATTATTATTATTTATATATATATATATAAATTCAATATGTCATAAACAGAAGAAACCTTAAAAAAATATCCGAAATATATGCCAACTTTAGTGAGATATGAAGAGCCAATTGAAATAAATGAAGATGAAATGTAACTTGAAATGCAAGAATAAGTCTTAAATTAAAAAAAAAAATAATAACTGTAACCTTTGGATCAAAAATGGTCTATAGATGAAATTTTGAATAAATTCTTTCCTCCTAGAAGATTTGAACATGAAGGACATTACTTTAAATAAGTTGTTAGTGTTAATGATGTAAAAAGAGATGAATTAAATTAATTGGAAGCAGAATTAGATTAAAGATTAATTGAGAGATAGGCTCGGTAGAATTTAATTGCAAATATTATAGTAAGAGTGGTATATGTCCAGTAAGAGAAGATTTACATAGTTAATTATTTGAAGAGATCATTAGATAGAGTGCTATCAATTGTCCAGAAAGAGGATTGTTATTAATGAGAGTGTATGATAATTTGAAGTTAACTTTTGCAGCATATTAAACATTATATGCTGGATCTGTTGTATTTGGTAATAGAAAGGCAGCAGAATCTGAAATTGGAAAAAGTGAATAGGATTCTAAAATTGCAGATTATGACAAAAAGAAAATTTATTTAGAAAATCAAAAAATCTTATTGGAAAATGAACTAGATGCTATTTAAAGAAGTTTTAAGGAAATAAGAGAATTAGAAGAAAAACGAATGGAATCTGAGATGCAATTTTTGAAATAATAAACAAAGCATTTAGAACATTTTCTGAAATAAGTGCAATAGAATTAATAATGATTTATTTAGAATATTAATATAAATACAATTTATANCAATACATTTGATAAGGTATAAAAAATTCAATAAAAACGACCATCCGTTGAGAAATTCAAAAATAACTACTTTCTCAAAAAAGTCTAAACCACCAATACCGAACATCAAAAGAATTTTGAAAAATGTAAAAAGAGAATCCAAGAAATGAACAACAAGAATAAGACCACTTTGAATCCAGCCCTATTCTTTAGGAGAGTGGATAAGAGTCTAATCAATAAGACTTGTCCAATAAGTAATTAACTTCAATTTAATAAGTGCAGCCACGGCCACAAAAGAAAGAAATACAATATGATATTGATTGGGAAAGCATTGCTAAAAAAATACCATAATTAGCAGATCCTCTTTTTAAGAATAAAATAACTGACTTGATCGTTTCTAATAGGATCTATAGTGATGATGATTATGCATTCCTTGTTTGCCTTATTTCAAGTGTAAATAATGTTGAATAATCCAAAATCATACAAATAATGAGCTAAATATTGAATGAGTTGGGATTGTTGTGATTTTGTTAATTATAATTACTTGTTTTTTTTAAATATATATATATATATTATTATTATTTATATATATATATATAAATTCAATATGTCATAAACAGAAGAAACCTTAAAAAAATATCCGAAATATATGCCAACTTTAGTGAGATATGAAGAGCCAATTGAAATAAATGAAGATGAAATGTAACTTGAAATGCAAGAATAAGTCTTAAATTAAAAAAAAAAATAATAACTGTAACCTTTGGATCAAAAATGGTCTATAGATGAAATTTTGAATAAATTCTTTCCTCCTAGAAGATTTGAACATGAAGGACATTACTTTAAATAAGTTGTTAGTGTTAATGATGTAAAAAGAGATGAATTAAATTAATTGGAAGCAGAATTAGATTAAAGATTAATTGAGAGATAGGCTCGGTAGAATTTAATTGCAAATATTATAGTAAGAGTGGTATATGTCCAGTAAGAGAAGATTTACATAGTTAATTATTTGAAGAGATCATTAGATAGAGTGCTATCAATTGTCCAGAAAGAGGATTGTTATTAATGAGAGTGTATGATAATTTGAANTCCAGATTAACGCAATCTAGGAGGTCGGCGAATTATATTACAATAGATGCTTCAGCATCTTCATCATGTAGAGACTGCCAAGAGCACTCTCTCTTAAACTAATTCAAGCAGTAAATTACTTCGTCGAACTCCATCTCCAGTTTTCAAATTTCTGGATCAATACAAGGAAGTCCTCAATACATTTGATAAGGTATAAAAAATTCAATAAAAACGACCATCCGTTGAGAAATTCAAAAATAATTACTTTCTCAAAAAAGTCTAAACCACCAATACCGAACATCAAAAGAATTTTGAAAAATGTAAAAAGAGAATCCAAGAAATGAACAACAAGAATAAGACCACTTTGAATCCAGCCCTATTCTTTAGGAGAGTGGATAAGAGTCTAATCAATAAGACTTGTCCAATAAGTAATTAACTTCAATTTAATAAGTGCAGCCACGGCCACAAAAGAAAGAAATACAATATGATATTGATTGGGAAAGCATTGCTAAAAAAATACCATAATTAGCAGATCCTCTTTTTAAGAATAAAATAACTGACTTGATCGTTTCTAATAGGATCTATAGTGATGATGATTATGCATTCCTTGTTTGCCTTATTTCAAGTGTAAATAATGTTGAATAATCCAAAATCATACAAATAATGAGCTAAATATTGAATGAGTTGGGATTGTTGTGATTTTGTTAATTATAATTACTTGTTTTTTTTAAATATATATATATATATTATTATTATTTATATATATATATATAAATTCAATATGTCATAAACAGAAGAAACCTTAAAAAAATATCCGAAATATATGCCAACTTTAGTGAGATATGAAGAGCCAATTGAAATAAATGAAGATGAAATGTAACTTGAAATGCAAGAATAAGTCTTAAATTAAAAAAAAAAATAATAACTGTAACCTTTGGATCAAAAATGGTCTATAGATGAAATTTTGAATAAATTCTTTCCTCCTAGAAGATTTGAACATGAAGGACATTACTTTAAATAAGTTGTTAGTGTTAATGATGTAAAAAGAGATGAATTAAATTAATTGGAAGCAGAATTAGATTAAAGATTAATTGAGAGATAGGCTCGGTAGAATTTAATTGCAAATATTATAGTAAGAGTGGTATATGTCCAGTAAGAGAAGATTTACATAGTTAATTATTTGAAGAGATCATTAGATAGAGTGCTATCAATTGTCCAGAAAGAGGATTGTTATTAATGAGAGTGTATGATAATTTGAAGTTAACTTTTGCAGCATATTAAACATTATATGCTGGATCTGTTGTATTTGGTAATAGAAAGGCAGCAGAATCTGAAATTGGAAAAAGTGAATAGGATTCTAAAATTGCAGATTATGACAAAAAGAAAATTTATTTAGAAAATCAAAAAATCTTATTGGAAAATGAACTAGATGCTATTTAAAGAAGTTTTAAGGAAATAAGAGAATTAGAAGAAAAACGAATGGAATCTGAGATGCAATTTTTGAAATAATAAACAAAGCATTTAGAACATTTTCTGAAATAAGTGCAATAGAATTAATAATGATTTATTTAGAATATTAATATAAATACAATTTATAAATCATTAATTGATATAAGTTTAAAGTATTCTCTTAACTTTATGAAATTAAATTGTCTTATTAGTTTATTTATACGTTTTAAATTGAAGGGATTGAACATTCAATCTTTATTATACCTTCTTATTCGTCCTAGTTATTCTTTCTTAAATGACAGGATATGATTCATAGATCAATTTTACTTGATCTTTACTATGATGGGATAATTCTATTTTAGATATAGAGAGATTGTATAATTATAGTAGATATTCATATAATAATCTAATTATTATAATACAGTCATCTATTCAGTTTGAAATCTCTTCTTCAAATTAGCATTTCTATGTGTTTTACATTATTAATGATTGCTCTTATAGGATATGTTCTCTTATTGTAGACTTCTTAAACGAAATTGTGTTCCTATTTAATATGTTCTTTTAAATTATACTTATTAATTGATTTTATTATGTTAATATTGATCTTGCTGTTTTAGTTGACATTATCATAGCAATATGATTAAGAAATATTAGAATTGGAGATGGAGAAACAATACGAATTTTATGGGTATTGATGTCTTAATAAATGGATTCTAGTAAAGTTCCAGGTGCATCTACATCAGTTCTTTACCCAGTTCATTTTTATAAGTTTCATGTGGAAAATGTAATACCTAATGAGGATATATGTGTTGTACTTAGAGCTCTACATGATCAAAGCTCTTACCCTTCACTTTACATAAGTAAGGTGAATTAATAGTATTTGTGATTGTTTAATTAGTCCAACAATATATGATGAGTTATGTGGGAATAAGGGGATGGATGTATGTATAATAGAAGAAGAGAATTTGATAGCTAATACAACTTATTATTTAGGAGTATATTGTTTATAGGATTGTGATTATGAATTAACTATTCATTATGAAGAGGAAGAAGTCTTATAATTAGGAGAAGCAGTGATAGTGAGATTTGATAATGAAACAGAAAGTATCTTGAAAATTGGTTTACCAAATTCAATGGATGGAATTGATAGAATTCTAATTAGAGCTCATTATATAGAGGATAGGAATACAATACTGAATGAGTCTTTTCATTTTTATATCAATGAAGGGAATGAGACACCATCTCCTATTTAATTTGATTATGAGGCAGAGGGGATTTGGAGGATAGGAAAAGGAATAGTAATATATAAAAATAGTACAAATTTGAGAGGGAATTTGACAGTGTTAATGTTAGGTGTACCCAATACTAGATTATATTTTATATCAACTGTTTATATAGGGATTAGAGAGATTGGTTTATTTGAAAGAATAGATGATTTAGTAATAGAAAGGAAAACAAATTATTACAAATTAACAATTTAGTAAGAGTATTTGGAATTTTTGGATGGAAATTCATTATCTTTTGATATTCATCCATTTGAAGGTAATCCTGATGTTTATATATCACCATGTTATAAAGGTGAATGTACATTGGATTATAAATAGTATCCATGGTAATCTTAATTAGATTTAGGTTATGAATCAATAACAATATCTAGAAATAATAGACTTATTAATGGAAATGGGAGTGAATTTATAATAGCTATAAATGGAGTTGATGAATTTTCTAGTTATTCATTTTTAGCTTATTTGAGTAATTATTATAGTAGAATATTATCAATATATTCATTTGAATCTGGTTTTTTGGTAAAGAATGAATTAGCAGAATATAATATTGGAATATTTAATGAACTCAATTAAACATTTACAATAACTGCTAAATATCCTACAGGACATGGTATGATCATATTCAAGAAATGTATGAAGAACAATACTGAATTAAGTAAGGTGACAAATTCTTATGCATATCTTATAAATGCAGGACCTGATAATTTTTATAATTGTTCAATAACTAAAGAATAAATAGAAAAAATCTAAATAGGTTAAATATTAAAATCAGGTAGTTCAGAATTATATTCAGCTGAAAATACATTACAATTCTATTATAATAAAAGTGATTGTGAAAGTAATGTTACAATGCTTAATTATGAGAATATATAGACAAATTGTTAATATGTAGTTGGAGTATATAGTAATGTTGAATATATGAATTATCAAATATTCATTAAGGGATAAGAATAACATGTTGAATTAACAGAATCAACAACTCATCGTAGTTTTCTAATGGAATATAATACAGATTTATATTCATTTACAATTAATGAATAACAAGAAATAATTGAAGTAGTATTCTAAATAACAGCTATAACTGGTGAATATGATGCTTATGCTTCCAGATTGTATGATAAACCAAATTCTACCTTCTATGATAGATATGCCAATATGGAATTAGATGTCTTACAATATAAAGTAGAAAATGAAACACAAAGTTTATCTGGATAATATTATATTCGAATAATTGCCAAGGCATTACTTAGATATTCCATTACTCCTATTGTATATAGAAAATCACATGAAGATATCAATTACATTCATCTCACTGAAAGTATATCTTATACTCATTTACAAACCAAAATAGATTAAGCTACTTACTTTAATTTTGAATACAGATAGAAAGGTCCTTTGTATATTCATTTAAATGGAATCTATGGTTATTTCATATGTTATATTATTGGTTCAAATGGAATTATAGGTGATAAATATCCAAATAATAGTAGATATGATTTTGCATTTAGAAGTTCACAACATACATTCATCATTGAAAATCCTTAACAATATTATTATATTCAAGTCAACTCAATATCTTTAGGTCTTAATGAATCCTATGAAATTCAATACACTTCCTCTAGTTCTTTAATGGAATTATTTTATGGAGAACCACTTATTACTTAATTGGACAATTAACATTAATCTTTTTATTATTATTAATCTCCATATGCATTAGAAAAGTTATTCATTATTAAAACATAAATTACTGAAATCAATGAAGATAACAATCTCTAAATTTACATTAGCTTGAATAATAAATTCCCAAATCATTAAAATTATGATTATACTATATATTATTCTTCTACATACTTGACTTTATCAAATATCACTGAGAATACTATTGTTTATATTGGTGTATATAGTATTGGATACAATGAATATTCATTATTAATTCGAGGAGTATCTGGTATAATAGAATTATTAGATAATACTGTTTAATAAGTACCCATTCCTTCATTTGAATAATATCAATCATCTAATTTGTATTTCCTAGTTCCTAAGAATATCAATAACACTATTTAAATATAAGCATATACTCAATTTTCTGAAATTATTTTATTTTGTACAATACAAGATTATGCAGTTGTTTAAAAAGATTTAAGAAATAATAATCACTTAATATTCCCAAACTCTTCTAGTTATGATATCAAAGAGGAATCTAATGCAAGTATTTCCAATAAATTATTAATTATAAATAGAGAATAATTAGAAATATGTTAGAATTATATATAAGGTTGTGTATTATTGATAAATGTTAAATTAGATTTATAATCATTATTTTCATACATCTAAGGTAAGTCATATAATAATATTTCAACAGTAAATGGTGAGGATGGATATTTTAATATAATGATATCTACTTAATATTCAATAATTAAAAATGGAGAAATGTTGATAGGACATTCTGGAGAGAATATAATGTCTTATTATTATTTCTATGTTGACAAACCTGTAGAATTTATTCAAATTGCAGTTAGACCTATAGATAATTGTGATCCAGATATATATGTGAATAAATTAATTAATAACACTATATCATATCCAACTGAAGATACTAATACATATAAATCTATGTCTTATAAATCAGATATTCTAATTATAAAAGAATCTGATAATATTGGATCATACATGATTGGAATTCCTGGATTTAAAAAGAAATGTACATATGAATTACTCTTAAATTTTGCAGATATTGAATTGTATTATATATCTAATGGACAATTTGTAACTCATCAAATAAATCAAACTGTTTATTATTTCTATTAACATATCTAAAATGTATCCTTCCGTATTATGATTCAAGGAATTAATAACATTGATGTGGCCATCAATACATACTCTTCATATAGTGATGATAATGATGGTCTTTATGAAGTTCTACCTTATTATGGAACAGATGATATTTAAATACTTTAAGAACACAATGATAATCTTTTTGGTGGAATCATTTAGATTACTTAATCAAATAAACACTTTTGTTATTATTGTACTTATATAATTGCCTTAAAACCTTTAAAGAATACTGATATCTAATTATTAATAGCATATAATTCTATAGCTTTAGATATTGAGTATGGAAGGATATACTATGATTAATGTATTGAGAGTTGTAAATATTAAGTAAAATCTGGAGATCTAAATATTTATGTGTATTCTTAAAATATTGAATTGTAATTTTATGATTAAGATATTTTTATATATAGTATGAATCTAAGTAATTCTCAGCACATAATACCTATTAATGGATCATATACACTTAAGATTGTAAATTCTAATTTAATTGCTTCTTATTGGTTGAGTTTGTAGAATGAATAGAATTTAATTAATTTGCATTTAGGAAAATCCTACAAAGGTAATAATACAATTGAATAGAATGTTAATTAATTTACATTCACTCCCATTACAATAGAGTAATGGTACACTTTAATTGTGAATTCTAATTCTAAAATAAAAGTGGAACTCTTTTATTTATCAAAGAATATTACAGAATTTATATTAATCAATCCGATATAAGAATGGAGTATTAGAGAATCATAATTAGAATTATAATATTAATTACCTAGTGTTGATTACTATTATCAGATTAACTTATATTGTTAGAGTCAATACAGTATCACATTAAATTTGGAAGGATTGAAATATATAGATTCAAATTAACATTACATTGAATAAATAAAATCAACTTAAATTTACAATATTTATGGTATAAAGGGATAAGAATTATTGATTGAAAAGATTGATTGTTTAGGATAAACTGAAAGCAATATTAGTTCTTATCAATTTAAAAATTCAAGTGATATCTATTTTAATGTAACTCCAACTTTATTTGCAAATTATACTAAGAATGGATTATCAATAAAGAAGAATATTTATAGTTTGATACCACATCTTTAATATTCTCATGATATTTGGTATTTCAATAAAACTATCGCTTATTAAATTAAGTAAGAAGATCAAACATTGACAATTACTGTAGATACTATGAAAAGAAATAAGACTGGTATTTTAGATCTCAGAATGCTAATGTAAGTATCTAATTATATTTTAGTTATCAATTACATTATTCAAATTAAGAACAATTTTTGAATGCCTTTGGATGTCAAATGGATATTGAATCTCTAAAATATTATACAAATAGTTAATTGTTTCATATTAAATAAATGTAAACAATAAAAGAAGAGAATGATATAGTTTAATTTGAAAGTATCATATTAAATATTAATAAATTTAGTACCAATACCTTAAGATGAGAAAATACTATATGGTTTGATTGTGTTCTAAGCATTCTATTAGGGATATGATACACCATATACTTATTTTTATAAAACTAATTTGATATATAATGAAACTTAAACTATGTTTAATATTAATAGTAAGGATTAGAAATAGAATATAAATAGGGATTACATTATTATAATGGTTATAGTGACATGTTTAATTATGTTGATGTTATTTTTAGGAATAAGAAAAATAATATATAGAAGAAAGTATGTCTAGTAAAAGAAATTAGAAAAGATGAAGGATGTAAAAGTAGATGAAGAATGGGAATAAGTGAAAGGAGTATGATAGATTGAAATTAGTAATTTAATTAATATATTATATTTAAATCTAATTAATTAATTGAATAATAATTTCTTCATTAAAAGAATAATTATTTTTTCAGAAAATAATCGATGTAAGTTTTAGAATATCATATTTATGAAACATAATGGATGTTACGTAAAGGAAAATACAAATGCTTTATAAACATCTCTGAAAAACACTTAACACAACATTACTAATAGAGTGAATTACCTGGAATATAACTCTAAATGTAATTGATACGTAGATTGTTATATTGTCGATTAAAAGTTATGCGTAAACATTTTCTTAAGTTCAATTCAAAATAGGGTCGAATCTTAACTTAATTAGATTAATGTATGTAATTATGTCATACTATGAATAATTATATTGCCAAATGTTAAGATGTTCTAACTGAGCATGAAAATCCTTCCAACAGAAAGAATAAATTCAAATTATTAGGAGATATGCAATCACCTAGAGGTAATTCTAAACTCAAATAATTCTTAATTGAATTTGAACATGAACCATGGGATAAGAAATCACTTATATGGTTGAGATATCATGAATAAGAACTTTTCATTTCCATTTAATAAATCTTAATGTTCAACTATTTATATTTCAAAATGACCAATCTTAAAGAAGCAACTCGTTTTTTACATAAACTTATACAACTGAAATTTGTAAAAACATAAAAATCAATTACTATTTATCATGAAGCTCTCACTCTACTCCATTCAGCTTATTTTGAGAATTCTTATAACTTTCAGAATCAATACTTTGATCCTCTATCTAATATGTTAATTAATTCTTTACGTGAATACTATCGTCCAAAATCAGATTAGAATAAATGTAAGAGATAAATGAAACATTATGCTTAATTATTAATTATTAATTTGGATTTGTAAAGTAAATCATTAGAATACAAAGATAAATATGATGAATCTGCATTACTCATATCTATGGCTAATTATTTATGTTAACATATTTTAACATTTGTTGGTAAATAAGAAGAATTAATTAATTATATTAAATATGAATATGAATACAAACATGAAAAATATGAATAAATCATTCTTGAATAATAGGATCTTAATCAATTTGTATCATTTTTATATGGATTTGAAAAAAAACACAATTTCGAATCAAAATAATAATTCCCTCATTAAACTAAATTTGATATCAATAATAAGAATGTCTATATATATCATCATACAAGAGCTAAAAGTGATTTTAAACCAATTATCAAAGATATCTCGAAAGAAGCTACTAGAGATGGAAGTTTATTTATGCCCAATACTCCATCATGTAGTAAGGATAATACATAGAGATTAATCAATAAACCACATAAACATAAGAGAAGGAGACATTAAGAAAATCAAAGTTATTTAAGTAAACTAATTTATTTAAGAAGTCTATCTGATTATAAATTAGATTAAATGAATGTAGAAACTGATCTATAAAAACATCTTAGAGGTTTAGAAGAAACTTTATATAAACTTGAACATCCTAATCAAATTAAATCTATTGATTAAGTTTTTAATTAAAAGATTGAATCAATTACTTTTGAAAAATGTTTAACTTTAGATTAAGTTAAAGAAACTGCTAGAAAAATCATTGCTGCTGAATGGGAAGTTCACAAAGAAATGCCTGTTACTAAGAGTTTAATGAAATCAATCTCAGTATCAGATATCCAATTAGAAAAATTATAATAATAATATAGTAAATTATAAGAATACATTGAACTTCAAAAAATTGATTATCATAATACATAAAAAGATTAAGCCTAATTAATTATGAAGGAAAATCATGATTTAAAGAAATTACAATTAAATTAATAAAAATATTAAATGAAATTGAGACATCAAAAAGTATAATAATAATTATAAATACCTAAAAAATTATTGAATCTATAAACTGATGAAGCAGGTCTATCTCCAAAATTCATTAAACGTAATACTTAAATTTTAAATTCCTATAATACTACAATCTTTGATAGAATGGATCCAGCATTAAGACAGAATAAAGAATATTAAAAAGCATAAAAATAATTAATGGATTTAATGGTATCCAATCTCGAATAGAGAGATGAATTAAATTCAAAAAAACTCAAAACCTTTGTTAATGTATTACCTAAATCTGTAACAAGACTCCCATCACCAACCTACTCACAAAGATCAGATAATAAAAAGTCATTCGCTTTTTCAAATAATTCTACAAGACTTGAAATATCCAAATTTTGATTATAAATCATTATCATAATACCTTATATTTTAAATCCCTCAATTTCATACTTTGTCCTTACATCCAATCATCAAAATCAAAACCTAGAACTTTTATTTCTAGAAGATTTTTATTTATTGGTTCCACATATGACGGACTATTAAATCTTAATAATTACATACTGATAAATAATATAGTTAATTTAAATAAATATTTCCAAAAGTGTAGTACCATTATTAAAGGTTTCCTTATTAATAATATCCGTATGTAATTTTCCATTCGAATCAACATTCAGATGCTAAAAATTATTTCTAAATGTAATTTTTGGACACTATTCTGGAAATCCAAGAGATCCATTACTATCACTTAAATCAATATCAACTACAATATATGCTCCTATATTAAATAATAATTTAATTACCTTCAAATGGAGTACCTTTCTCACCAATATATTATACTACATAAGCAAGATCAGACATCTTTTTATAAGAACAATTAGGAGGAAGTTAATTTGCATTATCTATCAAGTTTTCTTCCTCATATTATAATCTTTTCTTCTAAATTACTGCTGTCATCATTATACCTTTTATTATAAATATTTTTATCTATTCTCTATTAAATTTAAAAACACTAAAATAATCAAATGCCATTATCATCATCATCTTCCCTCAAACTAATACGTTCTCCTCTCTCAAAATTAGAATAATAATCTTTCTTCATATCTAAACTCTCTTTAGCCTTCATTTTCTTCAAGAACACAAAACCAAAGAAAGCAATCAAAGTAATCAATATTCCAATATAAATTGAATTATTAAGTTGAATCCCAACATTACCATTTACTTCAACCTACACAGTCTCATTAAAAATCTATTCTTTCTTAAAAGAATTTTATGGTAATGCTTAAGTCTAATTTGATAAACTTTATTGTAATCCATCTTCACATGGTGTTTCAATTGGATCCAAATCAACACTTATAATATTTATTATTAATAATACCCTCCTGTACAAAAGTCTCCTACAATCTTTCTATAACCTTAAGATTTCATATATGTGCCAGTACAATTCTCAGGAGGTTTTAAAATATCTATGTATTAATCCTCTTCAAATAATGAAGCTATAGGTACACAAGGTCCACCATCAATTTTATGATAAAATCCATAATCACATTCCCAATCTTCTATTGTACATTCACAAGAATCAATATACTATAATTTATCATATGATTATTGATTGAAACATTTAGCATCCCTTTTTCTACGAGTATGACGAAATTTTTATCCAAAAAGACATTTACCATTTTCATAATTTTTTGGTATCCAAAACTCATAATCACTATCTGGATCTAATGGATCCCAAATACCACTACAAATACGCTAATGTAATGTAGTGAAATCCACATTCAATATTACACCTTTTCTTTTTTCATCAATTCCTGTAATAATGAAATTGATATACAAACTTCTGCTTGTAATAGAAGTAACAATCATTTTTGGAATCTTTATGGAATCCCAAGATAAACCTTCATCCCATGAATACAACAATTCTTCAGTTAAAGATTTTGCCTTAGCCATAACAATTATACCACCTCTATCACCAAATGAATAAATATGATGTCCTTTTCTTACTTCATACCATGTCATACCTCCATCTCTTGAAAAATATGTATTAATAGTTTTTTCTTCTAAATACAATCCAATATTTCCTGATGCCATAATCAATCCAATTGCTTTAGATTCTCTATATATTTTGCTAACACTTCTTCCTTGAAGATGTAATGAACAATCTCCACTACAATGAATCTATTATCCATTGACATCAGTTTCAGGTGCTTTAAGTGGATGCCAAATTGCTCCTTTGTCAAATGTAATAACTGTTTTTTTATATTTTTCAAGATCAGATTCCTTTACAACTTTTAGTTTTTCATGATCATAAATATTAGCTATATAAACACCTTTAAGACTTTCAATCTTTTCAAAATCACATTAACCTGTATTCAAGGATCTTACATTATTCAATAAGGAAATGGTGAATTTGAATCCTTAAAAATCAGATGTATATATATTTGTGAGTTTCTTATTAGTTTGATTATGAGATATAGATAAAAAGATTGATTCTGATTCTGTGTCTAATAATGTATAAGAGTATTATTAATCAAAAGGAATGGATATATTGATCATTTGAGCATAATCATAAAATGCAGGTGCTACATGTAATCTATAGGCAGATTAAAATTTAGATATTACAAACATATGAAATTGAGTTTAAAAGAAACCAGTACCATTATTGTGGATAATCTTATATGAATTATAATAATCGTCTGAATATGTGACTCTACTTTAATTGTATTCTAAATGACATGCAACAATTCTTTCATCTGGTATCAATTCACTATCTATAAGTTTATCCCATGAAGCCATCATAGCTGAACTGAGAATCCATTACCAAGTTTTACCTCCATCATTTGATTTATGTACTTCTTTATTAAAGGGAGGATGACATCTTTCACAATTAGAAAATGCTAACATCCATTCATCATCCATTGAATTCAATTTAAAATCAGAAAAAGAACTTGGAAATGTAAACCACGTATAATGTAATCCACAATCTTCTGATCTTATTCCTGTTCCATTTTTACCAAATATATAAACTACTTCTTTATTAGCAGGAGATGTTTGGATCTCATAAAACCAATCATTTATTCCCATCTTCTCTAAAATAAGAGTTTCATCACTCCATTTATATCCATTATCTACACTTTTGTAAATTCGTCCCTTTTCTGATAATGCAAATATGGTTTCTAACCAATCTTTGCCTTCTAGATTCGAATTACGCATGAGACAAAATTAGGGAGAGTAGAGTGCAGAATCAGCTTAGAATAGCGTGACATTAACAGCACTCACACCAATAATAAACAATATTAGCATTGTGTTTTATTTTATTTTATGTGCTAAAATCAAACAGCAAAGAAGCTCCTTGCTACATATTCTACAGCATCATTGACAGTTCTAAAACACTCTACATCAGCATCTGGAAATTCTATTTCAAACTCTCTTTCAACTTCTACCATAACCTTTTTTATTTATATATATATTGATATTTACTTCTACATATGCCATATCTGATAAACCAATATCAGTCCATGTAGATTATAAGGTGATTGCTGAAGGATTCTTAACATCATCATGTAAACTAATCACCTTTATCATTCGACGAGCAACAGCTTCTGGATTAACATAATAACCTGATTTTTCATTTCTTAAAACCATTGGTTGTTCATTTGATGTATAGAATTTAGGTACTTAACCAAATTATTTGCTAAACATTTGCACAAGTCGTCTATTCATATCTTAAATAATTAAAATGTCTTAAAATATATTAAAAGACATACTTGAACTGGTATGAGTAAAATACCACATTTATAAGTTAGAAGGACCTTCTTCAGACTCTTTCAAAGACTTAGATTCGTAGCTTCTGTTTATAAAAGATGCCATACTCCAAAATTTACAGAATCAAGATTATTAGGAACTTGAGAAATAAGTTTAAAAATATGAGAGTGAAATTAGAAAGCATATAAGAGTATAATATTTATATTCATTATTAGACTGAATAATAAATTAAATTGTATTGTGAACAACTCCAACAACAATTAGAATAATTTCAATAAAATAATATAAATAAGAACTTGATTCATGTATGAGTTCTATTTATTTATAAGTAACTGAAGAAAGAAATTACAATATTAAATGAATAAAACAAACATTTAATTGAGGAGAATACATTTTTAAAGAAGAAGATACAAGAAACTAATGAAATATAACAACATTAAACAATTTCTAGCAAATAACCACTTAAATTAGTTGATTTCATTCGTAAACAAAAATTACCTATTGACAAAGAAAGTTATCTCAGTAATACTATTGACACTTGTTCAATTTTTAAAAAAGAATAGAATAGATTACATTAGAAAACAATCTCATAATAAATAACTGAATAGAACTATGATCATTGTAAGTAATTCATTAATAATTTCAATATTATTTGTAATAAATAAAAAATTACATGTAATATTAACAGATAAAAAAAGAGTATTAGTGAACATAAGCAAATAAAACATAAGTTAGATTTATCCTCTATAAATTGAATTACTATATTTTTGTTTGCATTATTTTAAATATTCATATATATATATATAGAGTCTCTTTTTATTAACAAAATCTGGATTTGAAACATTTTAATATATTATAACCAAAGATGAATCATATTTTAAATTAAAACCCAGATTTGATTTTAAAATATTTTTATAAATATAAATAAAATCAAAAGATTCTTCTTATATATGGTGAAATCACAAGAATGTTCAGAAGTACTTAAATAGACCAAAAAATATCAAAAAATAGACAAAGAATAGCGCAAAATTGTATTAGAGTTGCTATTAAAAGAAAAATTATCACTATAAGAGGTATTCACCATATTTCTTATATTTATCATCTATTTACTACTATATATTGTTTATTTGATTATTCATTTCTAGGTAGCAAACAAACTTCATTTAAAATATTGTACAGTCAGAACAATCCAAAAAGCATTTGAGAAAGATGGTCGTATAGGAAAAAAAGAAACCAGAAAAAAGAAGCTTAAAGTGTAGAGTATACTCAAAGTATCAATATTGAATCCTCTTACACTCTAAATTCAACCATTATGTATTCAATCTGATAATACTTAAGTAATATTCATTTCTTAAATTCTAGATGTATGTAGATAAACAACCTTCTTTGATTGATCAATTAAATTTGACTAACGAATAAAAATAACTCATATCATCCCAATATCACAAACTCACCCAGGCTCTAACTTCACAAATTAAAAAGGCCACTTTAGTATAATAATCACTCCTTCAAAATCTATTGTTATCTACTTAGATGGTCTTCAAATAGATTCTAGACCCCAAACCTTAAATTTAAGTCAAACAAGAATTCGATTCAGTATCCACCAATTCCTACCCTTTTTAACCAATCTAATCATATCCTTAATTTTACCCTTTGCCTAGCACCTTTCTCAGAACTTGATAATATTATATATTTCGATCTCAATCTCCAATTTAAAAAATTTCGAATTTTCCAATTTTCTTAGAATACTCCTTTTTAAACTATTGACTCTTTAAATAGTTAATATAAAATATATACTACATTATCTTAATATTCAATTGATAATGCGTATACTTAATTTTAATCAAAAAATGAGTATAATAATTATATATAAAGAATAATTATATAAAGAATAATATGTTAAATATTTATATATATAATATTAAAACAAAAGCTTTTATTTGCTCAGATTTCTTAATTCCAATAAAACTGGAGTTCTTAAGAAAATCGTCATTTCTAGTAGCTACTATATTATGCTACTATAAAATCCTTTGTTTTTATAAAAGTACAGTTCAGCCTCAACTTTTACAATCTGCTCCTCCTCCAAATCCTCTAAAAATTTTTGGTTTAGTTCCTTCTTTATCATTATCATCTTCGTCATCCTTTGGTTTTCTCTTGATAGGCATTTCTAAAAATAATATATGGCAATCATTACTTTCATTTATTATATATTTTAATTCCTCTTTTGAATATTTATTAGATTCTTTCTTCATACCAAAAAGAGTAAAGAAGAAGAGAATTATGGCAAAGTATAAAGTTTGAATTATGCTCCAGGTAGAATTGATGGCTTTCACCATCATGCTTCTATTGGAAGCCAATTAAACCATTTAAAATAAGAATATATTTATATCAAAGTAAAATATATATATATTTAGTCAAGGTTATGTTTTTAAAATATCTGATAATTGAAATTTACTAAATTTCTTTAAATTCTCTAAATTAGGATACTATTTTTCAAATCCTTTAGCTAAATTCAATAATTTATTAGCTGAATCCATGGCAACAGAGTTGTCTATTTTTAAAGTTGAAACTATTAATGGTATTACTACTTCAGATGAAAGTGATTAATCAATTTACTCTACAATTTTAGTACTAACAATCAAAGCAGCACATGCAATTTATGTATAAGTATGATTATTAATAAATTCATAGTCATAAAGTGCCTATAATAAAATAATATAATTTACCATTTTAGCAAGATATAATGTTATTTAATATAACTATTGATTCATATTTAAAATTGATAGTACAATAGTAATTACATCTAATACAGTAATACCAACCAAATTAAAATCTAAAGTACTTAAAATATTAGTTTCTTTATCTTTAATCTCATCTTTAGTTAATTTTTTATGTGCAATTTTTTCATGTACAATTTATAATTTTACTGGATAGATTTCTTCATATTTACAAGACATAAACATAGTAGTCACACCAATTAAATGTAAATCTTAAGGTATATGTTTTTATTATGTTTTAGATAGATATGTATCCATCAATTTAACAGCAAAAAAGAATGTTTAATCTTTGCATTTATATGAGGTAAGTACTTCAACCATCCAATCAACCATCTTTGCTCTAAGATTTGCACTGACTGTGTGATTGGACAAACAATTTTTTGGTGTTAAATTCTATTTTTATTAATTATAATAAATATTTACATTTAATTCTAAATAATAATCTAAAATAGGTTCTGAATAATTGTTTATTAATTTACATAATTCATTTGATTATGTTTCTACTTATTTAGGTTTTATAGGTGATTATTTTTATGGAGAAGAAGTTGTTTAAGTTTTTAATTTAGGTTCTGGTTTACAAAATACTAATGGACGTGATGAAATAGATGTATAATTATTATTTTTAAGTTCAATACTCTTTAATTCATTTTCTTATATATATAATATTAATTTAATACTTCTATTTCCACCAATCAATGTTAATGATACCAATTAAGTTAAAGATTTATTTTAATGTCTAGGGTTATTAGACACCTCTGCTTAATTCTCTTTTTCAAAGATCTTCTTGGACATGTCTTTCATTATCTTAACAGTTAAATTTTATTAATAAAGTAAAAAATTATTTATTTTATTATATTGTTTATCTTTTGTTTTAACCCCCTTCTAAATGTAGGAATAAAAAGAAGAGAATTTTAACCATTTTTATCAAAAAAAACCCCCGATTTAGGTTAATAAAATCATACTGTTAATTTTCTGTACCTTTAAGCTCCGCATTCAGCACAGTGAATTTTATAGTATTAATTAATCTTTTCACATTTTTAGCACTACCATTCAAACTCAAATAAATCATATTTTTATTCTTTTAATTTAATTGTTTTTTACATGTCTCTTTTGTAATTTATTTCAAAATTGGTTCCATTGATGGTAATTTATCAAATGAAAACTTATTATTGCCATTATCTTTTATCTCACCAGAAGATTTATTAGATCTATCAGATATTGGTGGAATATCACCATTGCTCTCTGTTAAAAACAATGCAGATTTGAATCCCTTATTTTCATTATCTTTTTGATTCTTCAATGTTTGACATCTATTACATGTGTCTCTAAATGCAAAATTCATATTATTGCAATTACTACATATCCAATCTCCCTACCGCTATCTATGATTTATTTTATTTTTGCATTTCTACTAAGCCATTATATTTATTATAATAATTAATAATAAAATTAACTACAATGAACTAGAAGCAATATGAAAATATATTATAGGATTAAACACTACATTAATAAAATAAAACATACAAAAATACTATACACTCAATTATATATATCATCATATTAACAATTTACTAAAAAAATAATGAAACTCCCCCCCATTCACATTCAGAAATTCTATTAATCAAAACAATAGGCTTAATATTCAATACTAATATTCTATCTAGTATTATAAAAAAGTTATATATAATTATTCTTAGAATCCTTCTTCTCTAATCTCTTTTACATCATTAAATAAATTTATTTATTTAAAAAAATGTGAAACACTAATTAAGGTAACTAATAAAAATAATTTTAAAATTTGATTTTAGTATGTAAAATGTGGTCTTATTATCATTTAAGAGTGAATTTACACAACTGTTATGTATAAAATTATTTACACATTAAATTTTTACCAATTCATTTTCTATTTAGATTTGTGCTATTGTTTCTATTATCAAGGAGAAAATGGATATTGAAAATATATATCACTTTCACATAAATTTATTATATTTAATACTAGGTTTAATATTTTAGAATGCTGTATTAGATTGCTGATCTAATTCTAAAAGGGAATAAATAATATATAAAATATTAAAAACTCATAATATAATTATCATATTTTATAATGCTATTAATAATATATAATATATAAATAACAATAAATAAGGATATTTAAATTATTTTTTTTTCTATCTGTCTTCTAATCATAAGTCTTACAAGATCTTGTATGATTTCTTATTCTTGTACCTTTATACAGTAGAATATAACGTGAATATCAATCAACAAGCCAAAGATGATGGATTTCCATAATTTGTTATATAAAGTGAAGTTACTAACTCATTCTCATAAATGATTATACCTTCTCATTCATCCAATGGTCTGGAATCTGAATATAATGTTTCGAGATTTTATTTAGTTTAATTAGCATTAATATTAGATTAACTGATAGGAAATATTTATTCAATAACCATTTTTACTATTATTTTCAATTATCTAATCAAAATACATCTTATTTTTTTTAAGGTTTTGAATTTTTAATTTCTTTACATAGTTCTTACATCTAACTCTTAATATTTTGTTTTAATACTACAAATTAAACTGAATCTGTAAAATCAACTTAATTAAATAATACTTTACTTCATCATACAATTATAAGAATATAACAATAAATACACTAGAATAAAATTTTTACAAAAATCAATCAATCTAATCCACTATTGAAATAATCCATTTCATCAAACTCTATCATTTTAAGCATATATAATAATTGAATACAAAATATCTTCTGTTATTATATTAGAATAAGGCAATAATGAATATCATTATAAAATATCTAATTAATCTATTTTTATTTCTCTCAAGATTATCATCAATCTTTGTTTTATTTATTATAGTCCTCAATATGTAAGTTAGTGAAAATCCTAGATTCCTCCTACTCCTTCTAAAATTTTCTAACTTCTTTATTTCAGAGTCATTATTTAAAAATTTATTAAGCAAATTAATAGTATTTAAATTAATTATAAAAAAGTGTTAGTGTAAATATTATCTCCAGCAAGAACATCGCATTCCTTATTAAAAATTACTTTATTGACAAGTTGATGGAAAAACACTAAATTTTTGTCTATTTTACGATTATTTGATTGCCTGGTGTTTGGCGTTAAATCAAAATTATCTTAGTTATTTCATATATATAATGGTTTAAGGTATTTAAATGTTGCCCAATTTTATTTTATTAATTTCTATATAAATTAGTTTGAGCCTTTGCAAATTTTCTGCTTTTAAATGTATTTGAGATTTTCTAAAAAAAAAATGAGGAAGTATTAATTTCAATTATTTTTTTCAAACATATAATAACATTTATTAACTTCAGTCAATTAACCTGTACTACTGTAACTTCTAAATTCCTGTTTTAATAAATAATTACTCTAATACTTATGTTTTAAGCTTCTCAGTTACCATATTCATCATTATGTCATCTTCCTGTTAAAATTTCTATTTTTAGATATAGTATATATAGTAATCAAACTTGTTTGAAACTCCTTATCATACTCTATTATATCTTTAGGGATATAGCCTTTTTGGAATTTAATTGTAACTATTCATGCAATTCATAAATTTTTCCTAGATTGCTCATCAGCTAATCACTTTTTTCTAAAAATAGATTCTTCTGATTCTTAACACTCACATTCCGAAACAAATATGTCAAATTTTTAGCAAAAATGGAAATGAAAATTTTCAATTTATGTATATATATAGGTATAATGGGTCAAAACTTTTATTAAGAACTAGGATGTCTTTTCTTTTTCTTTTCGTAAAATTCTCAGACTCTTTTGATTCAGCATAGCGTCAATAACTCTCTTAATTAGATAACGGCATCAATAGAATAGCTTTTAAGTCTCTAAAATGCTGTCAATTGCTTTAATCATTGAATTAGTATTTATTACAGAGAGTCCACAACATCCTTGCTCTTTAAATGAGTATAATGAACATAAATCAATATTTAAAAATATTAATGATGTGGATTAATTGTTCAAAATAAATTCTTGTGATTAAATTCAAAAAGATTATTGTGTAATTATTTAAATAAAAAAAATTAATTCTTTGAGATTATATAACTTCCCTAAATTGAATATTTTCAATTAATACTTTTAATGAAGAATTTAATTCTCATTTGCTTATTAGCTATGGTCTTAACATAGCAAGTACAACACACAAATAGATGTAATGATTGTGGATAATTAAAATCACAAAGTGATTGTGAAACAGAAATTACTGTCACAGGAGCTTGTGAATGGGTAGCTGCAGCAGGAACAACAGCAGCAAAATGTTAAAAAAAGACTACAGTTGATCCTGTAGCTTCATTCAAACCTTATTGTGAACTTGTTGATAAGCCAGAAACAAATTGTGCTAAGACATTAGGATGTGCTTATGTCGATTCAAAATGTACACATTTTGCAGGATGTCCAGCATATGTTAAGTCTACAACAACAGATTGCTAAGCAATATCCTACTTCTGTGTCAGTGACGGAAATGCATGTATTGAAGCCAAAGAATGTAAAGAATACACTTAACAACAATGTGAATCAACACCAAGTATCTCAGGAATTCTCAAATGTAAATGGGATACAAACTCTGGAGCATGTAGAGATTACTCTTGCTCAGAAGCTGATACTAGTTTAAATACTGATGATAAATGTTCAGCTTGGTTGGCTGGTTGTGTGACAAAAGGTTAAGGTTGTGTTAATTCTCCAAGACCTCTTTGTGCTACTTATACAGGAGATGATGCTGCTTGCTAATCATTTATTGGATAAGATGGAAATTGTGAATTAGCAGCTGGTACCACAAATTGTAAAGCTAAGGAATGTGCAAATGCTCCATTATCTTTAGCTACTGATGATGATTGCAAAGCCTATCAAAAGGGATGTATCACAACAGGAAAAGGTTGTGTTTTAGCAACAACAAAGCCTTTATGTTCTACATATTCAGGAGATAGCACTACCTGCGTAGGATATATTGGATCAGATGGTGTATGTGAAGGAGATGCTGGTGGCTCTAAGTGCAGAGCAAGAAAATGTGAAAATGGTGCATTTAATACTGATGAACTTTGCAAATAATATCAAGCAAGTTGTAAAACAAATGGCAAGACCTGTGTTTCAGCATTAACAGCTTGTAACACATATAAAGGTACTGCCACAACTTGTGCTGTATATATTGGTACAGATGGTTATTGCAAAGGAACCAGTACAACAACTGAAGCTTCTTGCTTACCAAAAGTTTGTGATGAAGCTCCAGATACAACAACAACTGATGATGCTTGCAGCAAGTATTAAGTTGGATGCGTTACTACAGGAAAAGGATGTGTTACAAAAACTAATTTGAAATCTTGTACTACTTATGATGGAGATGCTACTAGTTGTTAATCAAGAGTTGGATCTGAAGGAAAATGTATGTGGAAGAGTGGACCTAGGTGTGTAGCTAGAGATTGTACAAGTGCAGCATCTAATGTAAATACTAATCCTCTATGTGCTAATTATTTCACTAACTGTGTTACTACTGGATCAGGATGCGTTTCATAAACTACTTGTGATTTAACAGTCAAATAATAAAGTTGTGAAGGTACTAATAATTGTTCATGGTAACCAATTTGTACTAGTAATGCCTAATGCAGTGAATTTAAGAAAAAATCAATTTGTCTAGCCAATTCTGCTAGAGTCAAAACATTTGATAAAAATGATGATAATGGAAATCCATTATACATATATGTAACAAAAAAATGTGGTTGGTTGAATAATGCTTGTAAGGAATTGGCCTGTTCAGATTTGACAGGTGCTTATTATAATACAGATGCAAATTGTGCAGCAGAATTATCAACATGTATTAGTAATAGAGTTGATGCATGCATAACTAAAAATGATTGTGGCAAACTCTTTGGAACATAATCAACTTGTTTAAGTTATCCAGGTTATTGTACCAATACATCAACAGCTACTGATACTACTGCATGTGTATCAAGAAAGTGCACAGATAATACAGATGCAACTGATAATGCCACTTGTGCTACATTCTTGCCTGGATGTATTAGTAATGGAAAAGGTTGTGTAGATTATACTACTACTTGCTCATCAATGAAAGGAACATAAGAAACATGTAATAAGCTATTTGCTTATAAGTCTGGATCTAGTGATAACTTTACAACAAATCAATGTTATAACAGCGCATCAGCAACTGAAAATGATTCTTGCTAAGTTAAAACATGCAAATTGGCTACAAACTAAACAGATGGTACATGTGGGTCATTTTTAGAAGGATGTGTCTTTAATGGAAATGGAGGATGTGTTGATCCAAAAGCTGGTGACACAACTTGTGCAAGTTATACAGGTGTTTTAGCATTTTGTGAAGCTGCTATTGTTGGAAGTAATAGTGCTAAATATTGTTTTGGAACATCTACTTCAGCCGCATGCAGTGTTAGATAATGTACAGATAATACTTCAGCCACAAAGGATGATGAATGTGAAACTTTCATGTCAGGATGTATTGCTAAATCTGAAGGAGGTTGCATTGCTAAATCAGCAAGAACCTGTGCTTAATAATCAGGAACAGTTACATCATGTCCTACTTTTAGTGGAGGTTTATTAGTTTCTTCAGCTTGGACCAAGACATCATGCACAAAATATGATGCTTGCTAAACTAGAACATGTGCAGATAAAGCAAGTCCTTAATCAGCTTAAGATTGTACAGATCACAAATCAACTTGTAGATTCTTGAAGACTGGATCTCCATGCATTGATGCAGCAGCTTGTAGTACTTATAGTTTACCAGATACAGCAACAACAGATTAATAAAAGTTTGATTATTGTACAAACATCAAAGATAACAATGGGTTGTTATGTGGTTTTACAAAAGGAGCAACTAAGTGTTCATCTAGAACTTGTGATCAATACTTGAGCGAATACACTACATCATCCTGTGTTACTTATTTACAAAAGAATGTATCAACTTCAACAGATAATGTCTGTAAATTAGCTGGAACCATTTGTTATTTACCTATAGCAACTTGTGCATATAATTATGCTACAACCGATAATACTGATCCACTTAAGTTAACTCAATGTAAGAAGTTTGTGAATGATGAAGGACTTACATGCACATTCAAAACAGGTGATACTAAATGCAGTTTATAGGATACTTGTGAAAAGTTAATTACCTAAACTGATGCTAAAACTTGTAATGATTAAACTCTATTTTCATCTGCAGGAAAATGTTAAAAAGTAACAGATTCAACTTGTCTAACATTATCAACAGCATGTACTGACTACAAAATTGATTCTAGTTTGGCTACAAATAAAAAATAAGAATTATGTTGGGGTTTGAAGGCTGTTGATAATTTAGCCAATATTACTGAGGGAACAGGAGTCTATACTAAATGTGTGTATAAGACAGGCAGTTAATGTGATGCCATATCTGCTTGCTCAGATATTTATTCAGCCTCAAGCTAAGCTGAATGCGAGGCTTATAAATCGGGATGCTTATATTATAGTGGTAAGTGTTATGCTGCAGTTGTTTCTGGTGCTTGTCCAACATCCTTCCCAACTGGAGTTACAACAGATAGTTAAAAATCTCTTTATTGTAGAAGTATCAAAGAAGCCTCTGAATATTGTAGCTTTGATAAGGCAAATAATAAATGCATATTGGGTACTAATGGAACTTGTGCTAATATAACCATTCCTACATCAGGTACTTGGGATTCTTTGAGTGATCCAACTGCAGATGCATTTAAATCTGCTTATTGTTTAGCTCAATCATAAAAAGATAGACTTAAATTATGTAAATATACATCTGGAACTTCCACTACAGTTTGTAGTGATGCAACATGTGCAGATATCACTTCAGCAACTAGTTAAGGGGATTGTGATAATTACATATCTGGATGCATCTTCTATAATAATAAATGTTATGTACCAGGAACAGTAACAGCTGATGCTGAATGTGCTAATAATACTAATGCACCTATGGACTCAGGATTGACAGCTACATTAAAGGTAGCATATTGTTAATCTTATTACAAATCTGATAAAACAATATATTGTACATATGATTAATATAATGCAGGAGGTGCTCCAGCTTAATGTGTTGTTGGTGAGGTAGCTTGTACTTCCTATACTGCATTACCATCCACTAATGATACTGATAAATCAACATATTGTTTAAGCAAAATTAACAAGACTGGAAAAAGATGTGCATTCACAGCTGCTGATAATAAGTGCAGAGACTTTGATTGCTAAGATATATAAAATGCAACTTCTTAAGTCGATTGCAATTTAGGAGCACCAGGAAAGAAATGTGTTTATCTTTTAGGAACATGCTATAATAAGGAGGCAGTATGTACAGCAATCACTGCTTAGAGTGGAAATGAGAAGACTTATTGCGATAAAGTCTCTGCTGCCACTTCATGTACTTACATTTCAGGAACAACATGTGCTATTGAACAAGATTGTCATCTTTATAGTGTAACCACAAATTAAGCCACTGTTTGTGCAACATTGACAAATGCAAGTGGAACTAAGTGTACTTATCTTGGAGGAAATAATTGTGTTGAAGTAGGTCTTTGTACTTCTTTTGATGGAACAGGAGGTGTAGCAGCAAAAGGACCTACAGCTGGTTCAGAGGATACTGAATGCAAAGCAGTTAAATCAACCGACGGTTATCCATGCATTAAAGATGTTACTTAGAAATGCAGAGCGTAAGTTTGTACTGATAATGATGCCAGTGCTACAGATTGTGTTAATAATGCTGACGGCTGTCTCTATTATTCTAACAAATGTATTGCTAAGGATGCTTGTGGTAGTTATACACCATAAGGTGGTGATGATGCTGCTAAATAAACATGGTGTGAAGGAGTCTAAAATGATACAGGAGATTTTTGTGCTTGGGATTAAGCAAATACCAAATGTAAAGACAGAGCATGCAGTGATAAGTCATTCTATACAGATTTTGATTGCTAAAGTTATCTTAAATCCTGCAAGACAGATGGAACTAAATGTGTTGCAACAACTACTGCATGTACTTCATTTAATGGTTCAACAGAATTCTGCAATTCCTTATTAGATACAACAGGAAAAGATAAATGCAGACCAATTGCAACTGCTACTAATACATCCTCTGCATGTACAAATAAAACATGTTATGATAATGTTACAGCTACATCTGATTCTGATTGTGATACTTATTTAAGTGGATGTGTCACACGTGGTACAGGATGTATTCCAAATACAGCCTAATGTGATTAATACAGAGGAACTAAATAACAATGTGAATTATTCAAAAGATACACTGGATTAGATGCTAATAAGAATCCAACTTATGAATATTGTTCTGGTGATGCTGGAAATACTACCACTAGTAAATGTAAAGTAAGAACTTGTGCTGATAACACTACTGCTATTTCAGATACTGAATGTGCTACTTATTTGAAAGGTTGTATTACCAAAGGTACTGGATGTCTAGATGCAATATCATTATGTACTGCATTTAAGGGAGATTAAGCAACTTGTGCTAAATTCTTTGGATCTTCAGGTAGAGATTATTGCTGGAATACTTCAGCTGCATTGGCTACAGCTAATTGTGCAAAGAAGAAGTGTAGTGACATTTCTGGTAAAAACAACAAAGAATGTAATGACGGTATGCCACCATTTAAAACAACAGATGATCCTTTCTGTGTCTTCGATGGAACTTCATGTATTGATTATGGAAAGAATTGTAGTACATTCAATGGAACTGAAGAGACATGCCCAACATTTTTAGCTAAAGATGGTCCATGCAAAGCTACTACAGTTGGAACTATCAAAGGAGCATGCGCTAAGAGAGTATGTACAGAAGCACCAAACAATCTTACAACTGATGCTGATTGCTAGAAATATCATAAAGATTGTTATACAACTGGTTATGGATGCTCAAGTGTTAAGAAATGTGAAAACTTGACATCATAAGCTTCATGCAAATTAAGAGAAGAATGCACATGGGCTAACTAATGTTCAACCTCAAGTACTACATGTGCTACTTATAATAATACCAATTATTCATAATGTACCAATTCTAAAGTAAATGGTAAGTTCTGTGCTTGGTAAGAATCAAATTCAACTTGCAGAGCTTAAGTTTGCGAAGATCAACCAGCAACTATTGCTTCTCATGCTCAATGCTAAAGCTTTGCTGACAATTGTACTACAACTGGAGCTGGCTGTATCACTATTTAAGCATGTTCATCATACAAGACTCAATCTGTTTGTATAGCTGCCTCAACAACTAAAGATGGAGTAGGTAGATGTGGTTGGGATGTAGCAACAAATAAATGCAGAGCTAGAGTTTGCGGCGATAAAAATGGCTTAACTGATGATGAATGTAACACTTTCCTTTCAGGATGTAAGACAAATGGAGCTGGTTGCGTAAGTGGAACTTCATGTACTGAATTCTCTAATAAGCAATTCTGTCTTAAATCAAAAACTGGACCATGCCTTTGGGTTAATGGTTAATGTTATGACTATGACAGATGTGAAGATGCAGTTAAAAAGACACATTCTGAATGCTAAGCATTTTCACCATTATGTACAACCAATGGAGATACTTGCATACCTATTACATCCTGCGCCAGCACAGCATTAAAGGCTTCTTGTGTTGTAGGAACTGATGGAGCTTGTGGATGGTTACCCACTGGAAAATGTTAGAAGTTCGGATAATGCACAGATGCTGTTGCTGCTACAAATGATGAATGTGTTTCTTATGGATCAACATGTATGACTGATGGAGCAGCATGTATTGCTAAATCAACTTGTGGTAGCTACAAGACATAAACAGCATGTAATAACAATGGAACTGATGGTATTTGTTATTGGAATGCCACAGCTAATACTTGCAAATTGAAGGAGTGCAGTGATGAGCAAAAGGGTACAAATGATTAATGCAAACTTATTTCTGTCACTGGAGGATCATGCACAACTGATGGAACCAGATGTATTCCATTATCAACATGCTCAAGCTATGTTGAAGCTGGATGTTTCAATGGAACTGATGGAGAATGCATATTTGCATTACCAGTTGGAGCTACTACAGGAACTAAGACATGCAGATTAAAATAATGTGAAGATATTACTGGTGGAACATCAAATGCTAACTGTATGGGAGTAATCACTGGAAAATAATGTGTATCTAATGGAACAAGTTGTATAGCCAAAGCTGCTTGCTCATCTTATAAGACTATTACTTCTTGTAATGGAGGTGGCTTTGAAAATAATAAATCAACTGTTTGTGCTTTCACTCCAAATGGAACTGATAAGGTTAATGGAACTTGCAAAACATTTACTGCATGTGCTGATGCCACCAAAGATAAACTTGCTTGCACAACTAATTCATCATGCAAATGGACTGAAAACTCAACTGGAACATCTTGTGCTAATCATGCATGTGATACATTTGCCACAGGAACTGATTGTCAACCAATTCCAAGCTTTGATGGAACTTCATCCACTGTTTGTGTTCTCTAAAGTGGAAAATGTGCTGCTGCTGATCCAGGAACCATGACAGATTCCAAGATTTGCTACACTAAATCTGCTTATACTTATAGTTGGAATGCTGCTACCAATAAATGTGAAAGTTGTATTTCAGGATCTGTCAATCCAAATAATTCAAATGGAACAAATAATTAAACAGATAATGGAACAACAACTACCGACAGTGCCTTCATCTTGTCAGCTATTTCTTTCGGTATCTTGGGATTAATGGCATGATTTTGATTTTCATATTATATAGGGAAAATATTAATATTACAAATTATTTTTATCTCTCAATAGAGGGTTTTTTAGTAAATATAAAACTCTTAAAATTTTTACTTTTTATTCAGAATTATTATAATTATATAGTCTTTTTTCAGATAATATCTTCCGATATATTTGAAGTTTTATTATTAATTTAGCTTTTAATTATTTCTCAGATTAATCTATAATATATTTTAAATTTAATTGTTTTAAAAAATATATAAATTATTTTGTAATTTCTAAAGCCAACATATGATTAGGAATTCTTAATAGATAAAAAATATAAGAGTCCTACTTACCTAAGGATTTTAAAGAAGCCTAAATTTTATTATTTAATAAAAATTGAGATGTGTGGACAAGGCAATATTAAAAATACAATATAATAATAAATAATATCAATAAAATTTTGAACAAAATCATTAAAAAGTAGGTTACTTTTAAACTCTGATTAAATGATTATTTTATTAAATTACATTATGTAAATTACATTATGTTATTGTTTAGTTTCAAAACTTGAGAATAAGAAATTTTAAATCAATAAAATCTATAAATATTAAATAACATAAAGACTAACTTAAGCTTCTAAATTTGAATCTTAGTTCATATATTTAAGATTCTAGGAAGCTAGAATATGATCCAATTAGATTTGTTTATAAAGCGAGATATCGGTTAGAACTAAATTAGGTTCTCCATCTACTAATAACTCAAACTCTATAAGTTTGAAGATTTTAAATTTTAAATAGAAAATGGTTGTTTAAATTATTGATGAAAAGAAGCAAGTTGTTGCATGAAGGCAAGAAATTTATGACATAGCTTAAAGTTTTAATTATCAGTGAAGAAATTTTATTTGAAATCATTGTTTTTAGATTAATTAGAAATGTAAAGTTATTTATAATAAAGTAGATGGCTAAGAAAACTTGATTTTGAGTCCTTATCTCACAACACAGGACCTAATTCTACTTATAAACTAATTTTTTATTCTGCAAGTAAGATCATTTATATTATTATCGTTTTCTTAAATAATAATCATTCTATTTTGAGATATTAGTTATGATGATATTCATTCTTAATAATAACATCTACTATTTTGAAATATTTTTATAATTTCCATGATCATTGAATTTAAATCTTAATTACTCAAATTTATCAATATAAGATTGATATTATTTTCTAAAAGAATAACAATATTAATTATAAAAGAGATTTCCTTAATTATGTCTGGGTTTCTGAATAAAAGTAATATTTTCTAAAACAAATTTTATAATCCTTTCAATAAATAAATTAGATTATTAAAACTAGAATCAAAAGTATAAAATGAATATTTTCTTTTGTTGTATAATAAGAGAAAAAGAAAGTAATGAAGATCGACCTGAAAAAAATTAAACTTAAGATTAAAATATTAAGAAACCAGATTAAAGTACCCATAAGTTAATAACTCAATAAGTCATCTAAAATAAAAATTTAGGAATTCAAAATCAATAGAATTTTTAAGAAAGGAATTCAATAACAAGTTGGAATTAAGATTGTATAAATAATGGATTTGATAAACTTTAAATTTAATCGTCAAATTTTAATAATCTAATAATATTTATTAACATCTTGTGTTATTATAGCGAAGATAGTATAAAATATAATTGGAATTAACCAAATCAATATGAATGTGAAGTTAAATTGTACTAAACTGAATATGATGAAAATAACAATCCAAAATTTAGATTCAACGAAGGAAAGTTTTTGATTAATTTAAAAGAAAAGACATTTAATCTAATAAAAAGTGGAATTTGCTTTTAAGAATAATCAAATTTTATAAATCAAGACTTTGGGGAAGATACTATTTAAAAAAATAGAATTTAAGAAAACAAGAATCAATAAATAAAGATATTAGATCCAGAAACAAATGAATAATTAAATAAATCTAATAGAGATAATTACGAATATATTTGCCAATAATAGTAAAATATACAAATTTGGTGTAAATACAATTAGTAATTTTCAATTAATGATTTGAATATATTGACAAATAAGTTATGGATGACAAGTAGTATCATTGATAGTTATGTTCTGTATCTTAACTTATCTAGTGATAACAAATATTTTTCATTAAAGTAAACAGAAAGAAAAAACAAAAAAAGAATTTTATTTTTTCCATCAAGTTTAACAACTAATTTTGGAGATGATTATGATATTAAAAAGGTAAGATATTTATTTGAATCAGAAAAACCTCAATTTAAGGACATAAATTTTTAACTCTCATTATTGTATCATTATATTGGATTCCCAGTCAATAAAAAAAATCGTCATTGGCTATTTCTATTATTTGAATTAAGTTCTAAAAAAGTGTTTATTTTTGATTCTTTGCATAGATCGAAGTAAGATAACAAATTAATAAATTCAATTGCTTAAATTCTCAATTTAAATGAAATTCAAATTAATGTACATCCACATTCTGGATAATAAAGAGACTATTACTCATGTGGGTATCGTGTTTGTAGTTTTATGAAATACTATTACGAAAAATAATTTTAAGAGAATGTTTAATATAAATATAAAGAAGACGATATGATTGGTATATTAAAAGATGTAATAAATCCTTCATGATGTTAAAACTTAAGCTTGATATTTATATTTGATTTTAAGGTTTTTTTGTGGAATTTTCCAAATCTAATATATATTTCTTAATCATTTATTCTAAATTCACTAAATATTTTATTTATTATAATCTATATATTTATCATTATTAATCTTTCCTACATAGTATAAAATTAATTATAAAGATTTTTAGAAGTGTTTCTCTAAAATGAATTTCCTATTTTTTTAATATACTATAAAGTATTTTCATGATTATAAATTAATATGTGGGCTTTTCCTAGAAATTCAGGTTTGAGATTAAGAATTTAATAATTCAATAAAATTGATTATAATTTTCTTGAATTAATAACAACAATTTGATATGCATACATCTTAGATGGATTCAGTTATTTTTCTAATTTTTAATTTTCTAAATTGTTATTTTTTTTCATAAACCATTGAAAACCTTTTTATACACAAAATAAATAAGAAAAAGAACACAAAAAATAACTAATTTCATAACTCAATTGCTTATTGCATATTTTCGCAAATCTTATTGGGACCTTATATTTGTCTTTTTGAATATAGTGAATTTTAAGTTGGCGAATTTAATATAGGCACCTTAATTCTATTTTATTAAGTTTAGGTATAGCATTGACAAGTAACAGATTATTTGCTATCCTAAAACTTTTCTAAATAGTCTTATGTGTGCGATTCACATATACCCATAAATTAAGCCAAAATTATTGAAATGTTTAACTTTAAATATCTAAGTTAAGAAAAGAGATAAATTAACGGAATTTAGAAATAATTGATAAATTTTTAACTGTTAAATCAACGTGATTATTTTCAAAATCAAATTATTATTGATGATCCTATTATAAAAATAAGTTCTATGTGATTTAGCTATTCATTTAATCATTATATAGGAATAAAACCAATAAATTGTTTTGTAGAAAGCAAATTACAAGTTTTCATCATTAATCAATAATCTCAAATTAATAAAATAATCTTCCCTTATTTATCAAAGTTAAATATAAGTTAATTAGAAGAAACTTTGATAATTAGTACTCTATATATCTTATGCTTATATTTTATTTTGTAATTCTAGAATCTTGCAATCAAATTACTATCCATTAAATTACAAAATATTCAACAAGCAAATAATAAAATTATTAAATGTAATAACAAAGTAATTATAATCATAGCATTTACATTATATTGAAAAATTCCATTAAACTATACAAATATTAATGTTTTATTAGATTATCTGTAATAAATAATAGTCTATATTTCTTCCTTTGCTTATTGATTATAAAGAATAATCTAGGATATATTTAATTATGCTTTGTTATTTTTCAGAATCTTTACAACTAGTTAATTATACAAGAATATATTATTTCATAAATCATAGATTCTGACCTAGTATTTTCCAATTACCATTGTAAATTAGTTATCATTATTTAATTCTTAGAAACTATTGTTATAATTGTGCAATTAGAAGTATATTAAATAGTAAGAAAAAACTATTATGAGAAATTACACAATAGATAACATAGGCTAGCTCTTAATAATAAAAATATCTTAGAAATATTGATAAAATTAGTATAGTCTATTGTAAATGATTATAAAATATGATTTTTTAGAATTTCTAAAATTCAAATAGAGTTAATGATGTCAATTAACAAGTGAAAATAATAAATAAATAAAAATATACAAATTCAAAAAATTTTACAACAACATCCTCCTTCTGTTTTAATTTATTCATCTTTTTCACGATTTTATGTCTATTTCCCTGACTAATTACTCAAATTTCCATTTTTCATTTAATTCCCAACTCTTGTTGTTAAATCCTCAATTACTAAATCTACATTTTATCCTGTCAAGCAAGAAATCTCAAAATATGGAATATTTAATTCATTTGCCATTTTTTGTGCTTCTTCTTATGATTCTTTATAATAATGATGATCGTATTAATCAGATTTGTTCCCAACTATAATTAATTGTGCATCTAAATTTCAATCAATTCATACATTCAGATGCATGCTTTGCAATTTCAGTCATATCATCTCTCAAATCTGTTAAAGTATAAGGCCTATTATTTTATATAGTGTTTTACCTTGTGAGATCAAAAATTAAAATAAAACCAAAAGCTGACTTATAGAATCCATATGAAGCATATCTCAAATTTTCAGCTCCAGGCTATTATGTAAATTTTAATATATTACTGTATCAAAAATACAAAGCCTATATTTACCATCATTATATATTTTAGATTTAAAATCTAATCCTTTACTTTCTTCATAGTTTGATTTGAAATTGTTCTCGCAAAATCGAGATAGAAAAGAAGTCTTACCAACCATATTTGATCCTACTAACATATATTTAATCACTTCCTATTGAACCGACATTATTTTATTTTTAATATTTTGTAATACCTAACATGAAATAGTCCAATAATTGATGATTCTAATTAGTACTCAAATGAAATTCTTTAAGAATGGCAAATCCATTCAATTTTTATAAGATTTTCTTGTAGAAAATTAATGAAATCATTTTTTTTGGAATTAAAGGCTTAATAAAAACAAATAGTATACAATTTGAAACATAAATGTTATTTAATATATTTAATTGATTATCTATTATTAAAATTGTATTTTAAAAAATCTCAGCAAAAATGTAAAATCATAATCATTTTAGAAACAATAATTTTATTAATATAACAATTATACATGTTTATAAAATTCAACTTGATGAAATGATAATTATTCTTAGCTAACAATGAATTTAGCTAGTTTAATTTATTATTTAATAAAAATATTTTTTTATTATTAATTAAAACCATTTATTCTATTATTATTTGTTTATTATAAAATTAAGATGTAATATTTTTCATATACATCTGAGGATATTTATACTTATTAAAATTTAGAAGAATTGAAAAAAATTATAGAAATTGACGAGATTGGATTAACAAGAATACATGAATAAGAACAATATGTTTCATATGAAATAAATAGAGAAAAATGTATTAGATTAAGTGATCTAGTTTATTTTATCGTAAATATTAATTTCAATAAAGTCATTTAATCTTGTTAGAATACATTTAGGTTAACTATTGGTTTTAGTTAAATCCTTAGCTTAAAAAGTTTAATAATTGTAATTGGTTTAAATAGATCATGAATACTTGGATTGTAATAGAATTTGGTTGAAATTCAATAATTAAAATGAAGCTTTTAATTGTAAATATTCGATATTAAATTATACTATCCATTTCACTGGCTATTAATGTCCAAATTATGAAGACTTAAATGAAAAAGAGATTGAAAGGGTCAGCTCATCAAAAAAAATATTAATTATTATAAAATATATTATTGATAATTGTTTTGATAAAATAATACTAACAACATAACCCAAAGATGATGTGAAAAAAACTATTATTGAGCCAATAATAAATGAAATAAATAATAAACAATTAGATTAATTAATTTATAAAATAGATGATACCTTAAAGAAATATTAATATGATAAACAGAAATAAATAATTTCTGTTGATGAAGATATTGATACAATAAATAATAAAAGACATGAAGGGAAAGTAAAATATAATCTAGACATAAAAAAAATTATGTAAACGACATCCTAAATGGAAAAAACTCCATCGAATGCATATAAATTAGAATACTGCTTATATTCAAGCCTTCCTTAAATTGTTAAACAGCTCGATAATAGTGAAGGATATTAAAGAATATAGTATGAAGGGAATAAGATTAAAACTGCTATTGAATAAATTTATTTTGATCTTTAAAATAAAATTTAAAATTATATTGAAAAATAAGTTAAATAAGCAACAAAAGAATAAATTTAGTTTAATTCATAATTTTTTAAGTTTCAATATGATGAATAAGATATTACGAAAATAATAACAAAAGTAATCTGCAAGCATGCAATAATTCAATATTTTTACAACACTTATACAAATATTTTTAAGTATACATTCAAATTAAATATTGATAATTAAGATACTTACCAATTTAATGCCAATAAACTTTACTAAGCGATGGAAAAAGCTATTGATAAAATAATCCCTCTTGAGACATAACAATATTTTATTTTAGAAAACACCAATTAAATTTTCGAGCTAATTAAGGATTTAATTTGAATTAGATTATATTTAGATTATATTTAGATTTATGATTAATTAAACAAAATAAAGAATAAATGTATAAATTTATTATTAGTACTTTGATTAAAAATCGATTTATATAAATCTTTTCTAAAGTGTATATCACAATATTTAAAAAATCAGCTAAAGTCTAAAATATAACAGTTATTTCATTAAAATTTAAAGTGAAATAATAATAACTTTCTTAGGATTTATGAATATAATTGGTCTAAAACTTAATTTAATTACAGTACCATGTTTATTTTTAAATCTTATCTGAGTAACAAATTAGTCAGGAAACTAAATTCCTTTAAACTCAAGATTTGGTAAAGTCTTAATTTAATTCTAAAATTACACTATTATTAATAACCAATCTATACAGATTAGACAATATCATTAAAAATTCTATCTTTGTAATTCTATCATTTTCAAAAATGAAAACTTATAAATCAGCAAATCGGTTTTCCGTGACCTACAATCTTCTAACTGTATATATTTCAGATATTTTTAATAGCTAAGCAACTCTAGAAACATGTAATTCAATTTAAATATGTCTAACATAGAATTCCATATTTGTATAATAGTAAATTATCCCTTAAGGACTTGCAAAAGAGTCTGCTACTTAAATTATAATTCTATCTGTTAAAATGATTGCCTTCGCTATAAAAATATAAAAATTACCTTAATTTTACATCCTTATAGTTTCCTCTAAACCTTGACCCGCTTACATATTTTCAGTAAAATATGCCAATTTTTTACTGATTTATAAACTCAATATTCATCTAATAGAGAAAGATTTCATTTTTTATTATTTGAGTTATGATTGGAATAAAAAATATATCCTTTTATGAAAAGGGCAATTTATAAATACATTTTTCATAGGAACTTTGATATAATTACATTTTGACTGAAAGAGAGGAAATTATTAATAGAAGGAAATAGGATTAAAACTTGAAATGAATTATAATAAGATTTTTGAACTTATTTAAGAAGATTTGAATAATTACACTATCAAAAGGGATTTGTACTAATCCTTACTTAGAAAAACGAAAATAGACTTGAATCAGATATTTTAACTTCTAGATCATCTGAATACTCTTTATTAGTTCAAAAAAATAAAAAAATTATCAATTTCATTCACTAATACAGATAATTGTGATTTTTAATGACTCCCATCGATTTGTATAACCCTATTGGTAGAGCCTGGATATTCAATGTCTAATGAAGTGGCTTTGCATTTATTAATCACTTTAACTTATTTCTAAAAAATACTCCAAATTCTCTAGTAATTTTAATCAGTAAGAATGAAACCATTAATACTTTCTGTGATCACTGAATGACTTAAAAATTTAGAAAATCTGTTTATCATTTAAATATACTCTGTTTGAAAGAAATTTTCTCTAAATTTATGATCAATTTTATTTGAGAAAATTCTTTGAACTTTTTTAAGTAGCAAACTTCTATCATTTCTTACAATAAATTAAACAAAGAAAACAAAAAATTTTGAATTAAGAAATGGTTCATGCTTCTTTTATATTAGAATTTAGAATCTATTAATCAAATTGATTTAATTGATCGTTAAATAATTCAATCTATATGTAGAGAAGATTCTTGAATAGTTCTTTCATTCTATTGATTTCCAATCTTCGAAACTTATAAAATCAGTTAGAATGACATTCTATCATTTTACATAATCATTTAATCAAAGCCCTTATCTAAATTTTATATGAAAAAATAATTTAATCATTACAGGAAATATTTTAGCACACCTACAATAAAACTTTTACACAAGAAGATCTTGAACATAAGAATGAGTAATTTGTGCGTGCATTGAAAAAGCTTCAACAGTTCCAGATAATATTGAAGACAGAAACCTTCCATATAAAAGTCTTCAAAATTAGAAAATGAATAATGGAAGCAGTAGAAATTTATTCCCCTTATTAGAATAAGGGGAATTATAAGAATTGAAGAAATTTATTCTTTTACCTCATTATTTGAGTCTTACAAAACTCAATTTGATAGATGAATACATAAAATATGAATAATCCATTGACAATCCTATTTCAGCTCTTACTATGCCATAAATCTATTAAATTTATAACATTAATCTATTTACCATAAAAAGTTACAACCAATTTATTGTATTCTAAGTAAATAAGTGTACAATTAAACCGTCCCTAATGGAAAATATTTAATTGGGTTACATTTAAAATAGTTTAATATTGTGGATAATAAAGACTATTTTTTAATAATTTTAGATATTTAAGATTTACATTGTGATATATTGACTTAATTTTAAGAAAATACCTAGCATAATTGGAAATTTCAGTGTTAAACTATAGATCGAAAAGATTCTGACATTGTAATTTAACAAGAGATTCAGAAGAGTTAAATTTTTATTTTTATGATCTTTTACAAAATGATAATCTTTCTGAAAAATATTTCGTCAATTTTTTCAATTAATATAAATGAAGGATTTATTTAAACCCAAATAATCTTTTATAATGAACCACAAATTTGATAGGTCAAGTAACCTAATTCTAAGCAATTAGCTTAATATAATAGCTAAATAGTAAGCAGAATAATATTTAGTGAAAGAAGATCTGTTCCCCTTCTCTTACTAATATTGGATCATTGCTTATTCAACTAAAATGTAGAATTAAAGAAAATCTTTGTTTTAATTAAAAATAAAAATAAAAGTAATCTCTAGATTATCCTCCTTATACATGAGAGGTGATAGATAACAGAAGCAGAAATTGTCTGCAATATGTGCTCTGTTAGAAGTTAAAGGAGTTATTTAATTATCTTAATTTGTAAAGTAGTTAGTAATAAATTTATCCCATCTTCAATAATTATTTTCTAATTTATTATTAAAGTTTTCAACATTATTAAAATACTATGTTGACTTATTATTCCTTCCTTTTTTCTAATTTTTATATTTAAATGGTCAAAATTTAATTCGCTTCAATTGATGAAAAAGAAGGGCTAAATGGATTTCTAAAGCTTTTCAATTAAACTATTAAATCATGGAGCTGCGATGAAAATTTCTTAAACTAAAACTTTCTTAGGAAAAATGATGGAGAATTTTAACATTTTAAGGTAATCATATTTACTAGAATGTAGGGTCTCTTTAATTAATTAGAAACAAAACTAATAATCATAATTAAGAAACAGAAAAAGAAATGAAAATGTAAGGAAACGGTTTTTAAACTTTTTTTGAATAGTTTTGCTTGTAGGTTAAAGATAACTAACTGTACAAGTTATTTGTTTATGCATCTAACTTAATATTATTCAAAATTTATATTATAATAATTTTATGATTGAGACAACAACACAAAACCAAAAATTAGAATTTAGTAAAATTGCAGAACAATGCATTAAGTAGTTGGAATTATAAATTGATGTAAAATTGCCTATTAATTAATAGAAATCATTCGATCGAATTAATGATGAAATAGATACTCTTCTAGATATCAAAATGGCGCCACTTAATGTTTGTAAGAAATAAGATTAATAGTGTAGCTACAATTATTTATAAGCTCCCTTCCCCATAAACTGTCAAAATTGACATTAAAATAAAATTGTCAAATGAAGTATGTTGTGGTAGGGTCTCCAATTAGATGGATGAACAATCTGCTTTGGAAAAGTAATAATTTAATTATTTATTTTTTTTAGCTCAATACTTTAACCTTTATCTTATGAATCTGAATTGTTAAAAGAAAATGAAGAACTGAATAAGCTATAATGGATAGGATATTATGGAGAAAAAAACTTTAAAGTTGGTTAATGGATAGCTAAATGGAAAGGAGACCTTTTAAATGAAGTGGGAGGATTGTATTTTAATGATGGTAAGAAATAAGGTTAGTGGAAAGAAATTATAGAAAATTATTTGGAGTAAAAAATTTTTTTTAATTAGTACTAATATGTAGATTTATGAAGTGGGGGCATATCTTAATGATATAAGGCAAAATAAGTGGAGAATTATTCATAATGATAAAGAGATGTAATTTATTTTATTCATAAATTGAAAAGTGGTGGGGGATCTTATGATAATGGAGTTAAAACTGGAAATTGGATAGATTTGGATGATTAATATCATTCTGGAAAATAAGTAATTTATACTGGTGACTATAAAAATGGTTAAAAAGTTGGTAGATGGGATATAAAATAAAGTGGGGCGAGAATGTAAAAATAATTATATTAATGATTATAAAACTTAAAGTGGAGGTGGAATATATGATAATGGAGTAAAAATTGGGAATTGGGTAATTTTGGGAGATTAATTTAAAGATGGAAATGAAATAACTGAGTGTGGCTAATATGAAAATGGTAAAAAAGTTGCTATTTGGGAAATCAAATGGAAAGGGAATGAGAAAATGTAAAAAATATTAACAATATAATTGCTAAGTGGGGAAGGTTTATTTGATGACTAGGCAGAAGGAGAGTCAGTTAAGATTGGGAAATGGATTGATTTGGATGAGGAATTTTCATTAGAACATCAAATGATTTATAAAGGCGAATATTAAAATGGGAAAAAAATTGATAGATGGGATATTTGGTATTGAGAATAAAATAACTAAAAATTTGAATAAATGTAATATTTTTCATATAAACCGCACTAGTGGAGGCGGATTATATGATTAAAGAGGCAACAAGACAGGAACTTGGGTTGAGATATATTAGGGATTGTAAATCAAAGCGATTTAAATTGGTGAATATTAAAATGATAACAAGACTGGAAGATGGGATATTTTGTAAAAAGATAAAGCCAATAAAGAATTTAAATAAATGTAAATTAACCAATACATCTTAATCTAGAGGAGGAGGATCTTATAATTATGGAGTGAAAATTGGAGAATGGATTGATATAGAGAGGTTGAAAAATGGATAGCAAGTATTATGGAATGGCGATTACAGTCATGGTCAAAGAGTAGATAGGTGGAATTTTTGGTGTGTAGAGGATGAAAATAATGAATTTCTGTATAAAAATATAAATTTAAAGCAAAGCAGCATTAAAGGAGGCGGATTTTATAAGAATGGAGTTAAAAATGGGGATTGGGTAAATTTTAACGAGGAGTTTTCTAAAGAAAAATAGTTAATTTATGATGGTAAATATCAAAATGATAAAAAAATTGGAATATGGCATAGTTTTTAATTTGACAAAAAAAATTTTTAATAGATGTATAAAAATAATAAACTTAATTTAGTGGTGCCAGATATTATGATATCTAAGGGATTCTAAAAGTTGAGAAGAACATGTATATATCATAATTCATATAGCTACCTTACTTACTAAGGAAATTTAAAAAATGGTTATAAAGTTGGTTAATGGTAAACTTTGTATGGTTCTCGTTAAATGTAATTAATAATATAAATCAATTTCTAAGTGGTGGTGGAAAATATGATGAAAAGGGGCATGGCAAGAAAATTGGATAGTGGAAAGAATCGAGTGTTGATTTTCCAGATGAAATCATTTATATTGGTGAATATAATAATGATGGTCAAAAAATTGGTAGATGGGATATTGAAGTTTGGAATCATGAGAAAAATCAATTCGGAAAAATGTAATATTTATTATATTAAATCTATTGATTAGTGGTGACGGATAGTATCATAAGATGACTGATAGTCTCAAAATTGGGTAGTGGAAAGAATTTGATAGTAAAGATCGTTCAATCATTTATATTGGTGAATATAATAATTATGGTCAAAAAATTGGTAGATGGGATATTGAAGTTTAGAATGATCAGAAAAAACAATTCGAAAAAATGTAATAACTAATATTTAATCAAATATTTCAGTGGTGGCGGATCCTATAATAATAGTTTGAAGATTGGGAAGTGGGTGTTTATCCAAAAGAATAGATTTTATGAAGGGGAATATAATAATGACAAAAAAATGGGTTTTTGGAAAAAGTTCGATGGTCAAAGTCTAAGTCGATTGCGGTAGTCTAATTTTCATATATTTAGAAGTTGTAGGTTTTATGATTTGAATGGGATTAAAATTTTGAAAGTTTCATCCAGCTTCATGCATATTGGAAATTTAAGAAATGGCAATAAAATTGGTAAATGGTAAACTTGGTTATATGATAATAAATATATGTAATAAATACTATAAATAATTTGCTAGCGGTGGTGGATTATACAATGAAGGAGGATCAAGTATTTAGATTGGGAAATGGACCATTATAGATGATAGTAACCCCTCTTATGTTGGTGAATTTAGTAAAAACGGTAAAAAAATTGGTAGATGGGATATTGAAATTTGGAATCATGAGAAAAATCAATTCGAAAAAATGTAATATTTATTATATACAATCTATTGATTAGTGGTGGCGGATCGTATCATAAGATGACTGATAGCCTCAAAATTGGGTAGTGGAAAGAATTTGATAGTAAAGATCGTTCAATCATTTATATTGGTGAATATAATAATTATGGTCAAAAAATTGGTAGATGGGATATTGAATTTAAGAAATATTAGCAACACTAATTCGAAAAAATGTAATAACTATTATATAAAGCATATAATCTTTGTGTGTTAGTGGTGGTGGATGTTATGATGAAAGAGGTATCAAGGTTGGGCAATGGATTTTTATCGAAGGATACACCAAATTTGAGGGAAAATTTAACAATGATGGGAAAAAAATTGATTTATGGTATCTCAGAGATTCCCGTTATGAAAAAGAAGCTAGAGGTTCGTATTAAGATGATAAAGAACATGGGGAGTGGGAAATTAAAACATCTAGTGGTACTGAAAAGGGTTGTTATTCAAATGGGAGAAAAATAGATAAATGGTTTTTGGAATATTATGAAAGGGGATCCAGGCGCTAAAAATAAATATATTATTGAATGTTTAAAAAATCAATAATAACAATTATTTTTATTTATTTGAGTTGTTAATTATTAATTGGAGGGTAAAATTATAAATCAGCAACTAGTCCTACCTCTTGATTTTGTCTATATAAAATATTAAACTTACCATTTGTTGAAAAATGTAAAATTCCATACTTTCATAATATAACCTATCAGCTATTTTTTATATCCACATCTTAATTTCAAATAATATCAAAGTATCCTTTTAATTGATATAATTGGATTAGAGCACTTTTTTGAGTGTAAATTTTGTAGTTTATGCATCATAAAATACATTTCACATTAGATTAATTTTTCTAACTCTAAATTTCATAATCTTAATAACAATCTATACTTTCACATTATTTGAGGTACTTTTTAGTGAGAGTTAAATTGTTTTTATGTTGATTTATAAACTTAGAGAAGGGTAATTATTATAAATTTTGATTTGCTTGCGGATTAGGGTTGGCCTTCTTATTCCCTAGTTCAACAGTCCTTGCGACACAAGACGGCTCAACAGTCAAATTACAATTTTTCCTTTTATTTTACATTATTGATATATTTATCTTTACATTAAATTTAAATGAAACCGAGAAGATACAAATTTGTAATAATCATATATGATATAAGATAATGGATTTATAATTTGGTAAAATTTATCTTACGCAACTGGAATTCAAATCAATCATTGTTTCATGTTAAACATTTCTCAAATACGTTTCTGTAATCTTTATATTGGAATGCTTCACAAATTATTAAATGATTTTTTAATCTATACCAGATTTATAAATCTCACTCAATTTTGTGTATCTAAGATCATGCTATTTAATTTTTTATAAAAAAATTGTATACTCTTTATTTTCATCAATACTTAATTTATGTAATGTTTAAGATGCTTTCTTCAATTATTTTTGGAAAAATTTGATTTTATTTTTTTATTTTAATATCCTACATTCACGAATGGAAATCTAAATATTTTTATTAAACAGCAAGCAAAGAAGAATATTGTTTGATCTGTAAAAGGATATGTAAAGATGGAAATGTCACCTAGTTAGATATCTGGGAAGATCATTTAATTTCAGAGGATCATCTTCAAAATTTATAAACCTAATTATTGAGGAAGAAAATTTTAGGCGAGGAAGTAGAAAACAACATTAATTAACTTATTAAAAATTGGTTAATTGAAATTTGCATAAGATTGAATATTTTGAAATTAATTAGATTTAACTTTTTAAAATCATAAAAAGGAATCTAGTCTAATCATTTTGTTAAGTTAATTTTTCATTTTAAATAGTGTCCAACATTAGTGTTTAAGGTATTCGACTTTAAAATATTATTGATTTTAATTTATTATCAAATAATGGTTAAAAGTGACCACCTTTGATTGTTTCTTAATTAAAATTTTAGAAAGTAATATATCTTTTAAATTCAATTATAGTATTTTAATCTAGTTAGATATTGAGTTCAACATTTTTTAAATAATTTTAATATTTACATTGTTGAAAATATATTAGCACTAAATACTTGTTGAATTATGGCATTTCCTTAAATTCTGCATATTTGTGATTTGACACTTACAATATTTATAAATTGTCTTAATTAAAATTAACTTTGCTGATATATAGAAATCATCAGTTACAAACCAAAAATAAATTATTCATTATAATTACTTCTTTAAAACTATTTCCGATATAAGGTCATCGAAAAGTATATTTTCTTATTTGAATTAAGTTTTTGATAAGTTGATAACATAAAATCGAATATTTTTATATAATCTTATTAAGAACAATACAAATTAATAGGAATTATAATCTGTTATTAACAGTTATTACCATTTTGCATGAAATAAAATTTCCTAATTCTTAATCATAATAATAATCTTAATCTTCAAAGCTTTTTAAACACTTATAAGTATTAGGATAGTATTTATCATTGTTAAAAAGAGGATTAATTTATTCAATTTCATCCTATGAGCTAATTCTACATAGTGCACAATTTTAAGGACATGCAATACTTTAATTATTTGATAAACTTAATTTTCCACCTTTTTATTCCAGTTCACATCTAATGCATTTATTCTCACCATAAATAATTTAACATTCCAAACATGAATCAGAAATTAAGCTCCAAATTATTCGAAAGGATATTATAAATATATCTGTGAAATTAAATAAGCAGTAATATAAAGAATAGGCAAGTTATTCAATAAGATTATTAACAGTATTGACAACTAACTGAAGCTAATCTTGCTGGTACTTGGAATTAAAAGTTAGAAATAGTTGAAATGATTTGAAGATAATTTGTGAATACTTTGATAAGAATAGCAGTTTGAGCTTCTTTTATTGCTACTCTAACTCCAAACTCCTTCAAGCTTATACCTTTAACAAATTCCTCAATCATTTCTATAGTGCTACTTATTGACATTAAAGTTGAAATCAAAGTCCAAAGACTCACAAATATTATTGTAATAACATTATAAGCTATTAAATCACAACTTCCACTTGAATCTGCTGAACTTACAGAATAAGATCTACTTTCTCTTGAATTATATAAATCACACATCTCACATAAAGCTACAACATATCCTATTATACATGATTCATCTCCAGGTTTCCAACCACCTTTTGCAATTCTCTACCAATTGATAACAATGTTCAATAGTTTTACTATAATAATATGCTCTCCAATAATGCTCTCTTAATTCTATCTTACTTGATTCTAAAGATGTTATTATTGAATCATCTTTATAACTACAGTTTTGTGCTACCCAAGATACTTAATATTAATTTTAAAACATATCACAAAGAATACATCAACCAGAAATTTAATTTAAAAGTCGCTCATTGACAAGGAAATGTTTTCTGCCCACCTATAATTAATAATTTGTGACATAATTATAAATTTATAAAGGTGGAGTCTCTTCATATAAAGGGACTGAAACACTATTACATTAAATTTATAATCGAAGAACTATATCTTGATTATAAGTAGGATTGAAGTAAATAATTACAGTAGTTTCATTAAATATAACATCATATGAGGATAGACGAAATTAAAAATCATATTAAACTTTTAAGAACTTAAATTATAACCTTTAGGATATAAAGTACAACAAGAATCTTACAACCCCATAATTTATTGTTAAAACTTATCCAAAGTAATAATCCTAAATTTAAGATAATAAGGAATAAATTATGATTTTGATTGAATAAAATACATAAATAATTTTTCTAAGAGGAACCTAATATCTTATATGGATTAATTATAATTTGTTCAATAATCTCTTAATACATAATTTTTATTAAATTATAAATAATATGCATTTAAATTAAAAAAATTATTGAATTTTTCCTATATCAATAATTATTATTTATTTCTTCTCTCGTAATTTTTAACCCATTAATAGATAATGTTAATAATCTTGGTTTTTCTAATGCATTAGATCCATATAATGTTGAATTAATAGAATAAAATTATAAATCTAATTATTTATTCAATTACAGTGAAAAAGAACCTAAATACATACCTCCTGTAATCTCTGCTTTATTTTCAATAATTTTTGAATAAAAAATATATAATTATTCTTTCTCTGATAAATAGTAAATTTAATCTCCAATATCTGCAAAATTATTTTTAAAAATGCAATCTTTTATTATACTATTTATGTTAATTATGGTTGATTTATATATATAATATATATTATTTGATTTGCAGAGTTATTGAAAAATTAACTTTTTTTATAATAATTTAATATTTCATGCTATTTAAAAGATTTTCGTAATTATGATAATTGTAACATTCTATAATTTAATTCAGGATTAAAAATAATTAAATCATTTTTATTTGAGCAATTAAAAGACAACAAGTTCTTCCACTAAGACTATTGTTAATTATAATTTAATAAAGTTTAATGCTTTATTCATCTTATTATTAGATTTCAACATTTCGAACCAAACCTAATTAACATTTAGTACATTGAACATTTTAAATTTTAAATTTTAATTTTCTCAATTATTAGTTTGTGTCCAAAATTAATTTGTGCTATTTCAATTAAACTAAAAATAAATGGTGGGTTGTTGAGTATCTTAACATGATTAAAAATTAATTGATTTAAATTTATTAATTATCAATATTTATTAGTTAGGTTGAGAGGACAATCTAATTAAAAAAGAAATCCTGTATTCATAAATAAACCATCTCTTTCTTCCTTCTTTTTAAATTGATTCACTTGAGTTATTTAAAGATCAAATATATATATTTCCAGAATATTCTATAAAAAATAATATTATTATTATATTATCTTAAGTTTAATTAAATTAGAGGTGAAATCCTACTGTGAAATTAGTAATCTTAATATTTGAACACATAATTTTCTAAGCTTGTACTTTTAATTTGAATTGCCAACACAGTAAATGAATTTCTATTAATAAATGAAATTTAATTATATTTCATTAGTGTACAATTTTGAGTAATAATTACATACTTATTAATTAACAACTACAATTATATATACTAAAATTTCCAAATTAAAAAAAATTAAAGGATTTGATTGAAGAATATTGAAAACATCATCATCAGTTATACTATCTAAATACGAATAGTAATTTTCCAGTCCTTCTTGTGTTGAATAGAAATCTATATTTTTAAAAACATCCTAAGAGTATATAGTATCTTTTTTGGATAAAATATTATGAGAAAACTAATTATTAATCGAAAGCAATCCTTAACAATCAACTTTTCAAATTCAATCATATTATGAATTTCAGATGGATTTATATAAATTTCACCACCATCATATCTACTAAATGATGAATCAAATGTAACACTCTTAATGTTTAGAGTCAATGCAGATTAACCTGCAACAATATAAAAACAACCACCTTTTGAAAAATATAAGGACTATAGTGTGGTTTTAGTATTTGAAAATTCAGAACTTGTAATTTTAATAAAACTAATTCCTGTAGTAATTACATAAAAACCAGCTCCAAAAATAGGAATAGAAAAATCTACTTTTATATTTTCAAATATTATTAAATTAGATATTATCATACCATTCCCACTATTTGATTTAATTGGAAATATGATTCAAAAGTTATTGTAGTATTAATAATGTTATTATTTTTTAAATTTGAATCCTTAACATATAGCTTTTATGAATCAATATATAATATTGAATCAGTTGAGTTTGTTACCAAATTTTCATAAAATTAATATCCTTGTATAATTAAATTTCCATATTTAGAGATAACAATAATTTAGTGGAAGAAATCGGAGACAAATTTAAAAAATATTAGTTTAGATGATTATATGAGAAGTTTGTATTTATTAATTATATAAATTCTTTTTATTTTGATTCTAGAAATATTAAAGCAGTAATTTTATTAGTTGTTGATATTATTAGTAAATTTGAACTAAACTAATAATCTTACACCTAATTGTTTCTTCCATGAGTTTCTGTATTAAATCATAACCTTTTAAAGTTATAAAGGTATATTGAAACTTAGACAGTTTTAAATATTTAAATTGTCAATAACAATGCTTTTATATTAACCTACATATAGAAAGAAATATAATTCTATAATAGCAAATTTTTTACACAATCTCTAGTTGAAGCAATACTTTTGAAAAATATCTTTGATTAAGAGAATTAAAAATTCTTAATTTCTAATAATTCTGAATTAAATATTGTCATTTCAGGAAATCCATAACCTCTCTGTATTTATACTTCTTATAAATTACAAAGTTAGCATTCAATATATATCATAACTTAATCAAAAGTAACCTAATTATTTTCAAGTTTTGTGTTTGATATACAATTTTACATTATGAAATTTGTTAAATTAAACTTGAACTAATCTATTTTATAATACTTCACAATACTTATGATTTACTATTTATTATAATTAGTATTTAAAATTTATAAATTCTTTGAAAGGACTTTCTAAGATTAATTTAAAGCTAATTAAGATTTAGCATATTCAACTTTATTATGTATTAAGCTACTTGACTCTAGAATTTTTTTATCGATAAGACAATCCTATGAATTTATCATATTAATTGAAAATGACTTTTTAAATGACCTTTAAATACAATTTATCCTGTTATATGCTGGTTATCCCATATATATATCTAGTTATGAAAATGAATGATTTTCTAATTATCAGAATTTTGCTTAAAACCAATCAAAATTAAGAAATACAAAAGAAAAAATAACTACTCAAAGGAAATAATAGTATTGTTAACGAAGACCTTAAAAATATCAATTCCTAATCTTAATTAATAAATTTTACATATAATTAGAGAGGTATAATAAATTTTTTATTCTATCAAGTGTATTAATAAAATAAAATCAATTTTAAGATCATAAATTATAGAAGTTTAATAAAGATGTAAAATAAATGATAAATCTCTTTTGAAAATCTAAAGAGGAATTATTCTTATTTCAAATAATAGTTTAATTCATGATTTATTTAGAATTATTAATATAAAATATAAGAAAAATTTAATTTAAATACTTGAAAATTTGCTAAACAAGAATTTTACAAAAATTATTATTATAAATTTATTTATAGACCCTAATCATAAATTTTTATTTTAAACAAATTAATCGAAGAGTTTTTAGAATTTATTTGTTTAATGATTAAGGAGTAATTTATAATTTTAAGACTGTTTATGAGAAAATAGAATATTAATCAAAGAACTGAAAAATAAAATAAATGCTTCAATAAATGAGTTTCAAACAATAACGATAAATTACTGAAAATTAATTGACGAATTCCAAAAAAGATTGGACATTTTATGACTTCCAATTAATCACAGTAAATTATATGATTAACAAAATTGTTGGTGAAAAATAGTCTTCCCATAAAGTGTTTCTCTTAATATTTTTTTAGTGTTCAGAATGCCTACTCCTCTTGAAATTGTTAATAAACCAATGTTCTCATTTGAGAAATATATTTGAATTTTTTATATCTACCATAAAATTATAGACCTAAACTAACTCTCAAAATTATTCTAACACCCATTTAGTTGACTATTTTTAAATTTACTATTGACTTATTATCTGCATATGCAAGAATTATTGGAATTTTTAACAAATAATACTAGTTATCTTTTATTACTTATTTCCTAATTAAACTTTAAGCAAGTATTTTCATCTTAATTCTTCTTGTAAATCCTAAATTAGTTTATTGAAATTATATATATCAAAGAATAAAGAGCTGATAAGGATTCTGAAATTTAATCAATTTAGGAAGTCCTGATTAAGATGATATAATATAACCATTCTAAAGCATATAGTTTATTTTAATTAAAAATTACCTTTTGATGCGTGTAAATAAACAAAGAAGAAGAAGAGTTGATCTTTTTGCTGCAAAAATTTCCTTAAATCTATAAACAAAATTAGATGTAAATAGTGTATGAAATGGCATAGGACATAATTGGTAATCATGTTTACCCTCTGAACTTCAATTAGGGTCAATTTAGACGAATTATGATGCTGAGTCGTTTCAATAAACAGCTTGAGGCATTTTTGTGCCAATATATAAGAAATAGTGTTATACAATAAATCGTAATGATTGCTTAAATTGTTTTAGTAGGATGCTCCTAATAATCAGATTAAATTATTCGTGAGTTAAATAAAAATGATAAGGAAGGATGCAAAAGAGGCGGTTTTCTTAGATATCTCCAATTCTTTCAATATGATGCATAAAGATAAGATCTAATCATTAAAGAAAAAATTACAAGCTGCATGGCTTAGAATGGGTTTATAAATGTCTATATTTCGAAAATCCTATTCTGTAGAAAAAATAAAGATAAGTAATAAGTTTTTTAATACTAATTTTCTGGTTTATTAAGATCGTTTAATTATATTCAATCAATTTCTCTCTTGCTGCTCTATTGAATATATTTTTTTTTTAAATTTACATTTTCATTCTTCATTTGTGTAAAATAATTTTTTATTTCTACATTTACTTTCTTTAATTGTGAAACTATTTAGAATTTTTTGAGAACAATTTAGGTTTTTAAATTTCAATTTCTTCTGAGAATGTTCTATTATAAACATAATCATATTTAACATAAGTTACTCCAAATTCCTTAGGTTTATTACATATTACCAGATATTAGTAGATTTCATTCACAGTTTTTTCATTTAGATATACATGTATTTATTCAGGTTTGATTATTGGTATCTAAAATAGATTCTTTTATTAAATTTTAATTTTAATATTTAATGGTCTATGATCAGACATTCTTGGTAACAAAGGCTAATATTTATATTCTACATCCAAGTTCTTCTATACTAGTATATANATAGTAATGTCTTAAAAGTATTATAGGCTTTCTAAAAGTAATATTGATTTCATTACTAACACATTGAGTATTTTCATTCTCTAAGTAAGAGGCTCTACATCCACAGCTACTTTGACCTGGATTGTACACTCGGTTTGTAGATTCTTCATCTGGACAGGTTATGCAATGAGTTTCTGAAGGGCCAAAACAACTCAAGCAACTATAGTGACATTCTATAATGCATGAAATTTCCATACTTATAAAATATTCGATATCACTGTTATGGCAATATTGAAACTCCATCTATTAGATTTGGCCATCAAAATAATAGAACATATCTCCTCCTAAAGTCATATAAAATGATGTTTCCAGCAAGTGAATTTTTTATAACTAAATTACATCTGTTCTTTTATTGCTACCTCCATTTCCCCAATAAATTGTACTCTAAATATTATTAATTCCACTTCTTCCTTCTTCATAAGTAAACCAATGCCTAAATTATGTTTATTATATAATAATTAATTTGCTTTTTAATCTTAGATATCAAATAGAATGTTAAGTTATGAGTATAATTAATAGGCTAATTAATTTATTATGCTAAAGATATCAAAATTAATTATTTTATATTTAAAATTTATATTATCTTACACTTTTATGTTAAAGTTTATATTTAAATGTCACATATATATGTTGATTAAAAAATGAATTATCAAATTAATAAATAATAGTTATTATGATCATAAATATTTGCCAGGCATCTATACTTAAATCTTTTGATTTTAAATTTCAACAAAGTTTAAATATCATCTCTTTTAATATTATTTCTAAAATACTAAATATCTAAATTTACATTTTGACTGAGTGAGATATTTATAATTTAAAATTGATTTGAATGAATAATAATTAAATTTAATTTTAATTAATTAAGATTTTCAAGGACCATTAATAATTATTGTATTATCTTGATGAAATGAGTTTAAAGATTATACTATATACATATGGATTAAATAATAATTTAAGAATTGATAAAAATATTCAATCTAGTCCAAATAATTAATTTAACAAAATTATTGAAAACTAAAAGAATAGTTTAATATACTTTTCATGATTGATCTTTTTTGGTTTGAAATCTTTGTATATTTTGGAATTTAATTCCAATTATAATTATTAATAAATGTATGTTCATTTTTATTGTAATTTTTATTAAAAGATAGTAGAGGATTGAATTAGTTTATTCCACTTGGAAATTATTTAAAACAATCACTACACCAGGAACAGGAGAGAAATTAATTGAATAAGATTTATCATCATTAGTTTCCTTAGATTATGAAAATTATATTAAGTAGTTTATAGCATTATTATCAATATCTAATTTGTTAATTAGTAGTTTTTGATTGATATTAAAAAAATTCTATCAAAAATCGTTTATTTATGACAGCATTAATATAAAAAATTCTTAAGTGTTTTACTAAGATAAATTAAATTAAGTACTCTAACATTTTATGAAGAAAAAAAAATAAATTAATCAAGACTGATAATAAAGCAGAAATATTAGGTGTAGACAAAAAAAATAATATAATAGTTTCACTTTGGCAATGTGATAATTTCCAATCATCTTATTGTATTACATTGCTTTTCTTTCTTGAGCTTTTACTAATCCAAATTTTATTTGATAATGGTTTTTTTAAAACATTTAAATATTAGGTGACAATGATGCTTGAATGAAACTATTCAATATATCTTATTAGATTATTTTAAAGCAATTTTGTATATTAATAAACACTCCAAAATTAAATTTATTATGTGAAAATGTTATAAGAGCTATTATAAATGAAATATTAAGATTAACTATTAGAAAATATTTTCTGTGCTCTACTAGATTATTTTTGATTTTTAAACAAGCTGATTTATATTTTTTATCTTCTAATAATTCCGAAATTATATTAAATCGCTAAGATCTTATAATCATAACTGAATATTCTTATAATAACAAACAAACAAATCGTCTTATACCAATATATAAACAGTTTTTCAAATGTTACCTAAACCATAATTTAAGTCTAGTAAGTTGGGATTAACCTAAAATTCTTTTTCTAAATATCCTAAGGCTTCTTTGTACTATTTTATTAAATTTGCTGAATAATAAAATGTTAGAGAGATACCTAATTCATTTAGAGCAAGAACATGGTTTGGTTATTTATCAAGAGAAATTTGAAAAGACATTTTAGCATCTTCCAAATTGTTTTTGTTCAGTTCAACTATTCCTATTAAGAAAATAACTTGAATTATATATACTGTAAATAGCATCAGAGAGTATTTTAATATGAAAATTAAATAAATAAATAGAAAATTAAAGATCATAAGTAGAATTGCTATATTTTAGTACAATACCCTCTTCTGTATAACTTGATAGTTTCAGTTTAACATTCTGAAATTGAACTAATTCTTGAATGATTGATTTTTGGATGAATTTATTTATTCTGTTTCTTAGCATTCACTAGTTTAGCAGATCCTCAACTCATAAATAAATATTAAAAAAACTGATTAATTTTTTGTGTAATTATTCAATCAAGTAAATAGTTTGTAAAATCACTGATATTGTTGATAAATTGATGTATGAATAATCTTCATTATAATACAGTGGAACATGGTTCAGAACATATACCACAAGTATCACCTTGAGTAATTCTGCTTCTCCCCAAGTAGCTCCCCATGAGTTTCTGATCTTCCAAACACCATCAGCTGAGATACCAACAAGGACGGCTGCGTGATTTAAGTCTTTAGTACATTCTGAAAGGACAACACTTGCTAAAAAAATAAATTTAAATAATTACCGTAGAATTACCAAGGTTTGGCATCAACTGCAACAGCAACTGTTCTTATTTAGATTGCATCAACTAATTAACTGCATGTTTCATAAATATAGTATCCTGTAAGATGTTTGAATGGTCTATCAACTGTGAACTGGCATAATTCATCCTTACCAGTGTATGGATAATTTTTAGCTTCACTCAAACCAAAGTCAAGAATATAGTGATAAGCTTAATACACCCAACCGCCTTTGCATCCTTAATTGCCATATGGTCTAGTGCAGTCAACTAAATCTTATTCAGACAAGACATATCTTTTGTTGAGTTCAATATCAGCGTTGATTTCAAGTGTACCAACTGCAGAGAATGCCCAGATGAACCACAGGATCCTTAATTCTTGACAGCAGGGTATTTAATCTTTTTATCATTGGTCCAATCGACTTCTGCACCCTTGTACTAGAAATTATCATTGGCTGTCTTTGAAACTCTTAGACTTAAATAGGTCTAAGCGAATTCTTCTTAGCTCATATCAGCAAATTGATTTAATTCCAAAGTGTATGTAGTTTCTTTTTGACTTTCATAGAAAGCTCTGATGTAGTTTTAGGTTGTCAATGAAAACCTTGTATCTGTAAATCTCATCTCTTTGGTTTGTATATCTCTTGTTATATTTCATCTTCCAATTTGTATAAAGATCGCCTGTATCTATTTCGTCTGATACTTTTTATGTGTTGTTCAAGTAGAAGCTGGCTCCCAATAACATCATTAAACCGACTGCTAAAAAGTTTTTCTCCATTTTAAATATATATTAATCTAATTAGAAATTTTATGACATAAATATTATAATATGACGTAAATGTGAAACAAATATATATAAAAATAAATAAAGGTTTTATAATTTATTTTCAATTAAATTAAGTGTATTTATTTTTTCTGTTAATTCACTTTTTTATTAATCTATCATTGTCCTTTCAAATTACAAATCTATATTTGTAATCGAAAGGAAATACTATTATCATCTATATTTTAATGAATATTAAAGTTATTTGGGGTCAACCTCTTAAATACCTGGTTTTTTTTTTTGATTTATGCATAAAACAATGTACAAATTATTGTAGAAAAAAAAATAACTCAAGTCTTCAGTAGGATTGGTATTGAGGCAAGTATGTATAAACTCGCAATTTTAACAATTTTTTAATTTTTATTATAAATATTGAAAAATAGTAAAAATAAGAGTATGAGCAAAAAATTAGAAAACAAATGCAAAAAAGTTGTTATATTTGGGGGTTTAGAGGATTTTTATCTATTTGTTAAAAATGTAAAAATCAAATTTGTGATGTTGAAAGTAATCCTTTGAATTTTTATTCCTCCTTATCTCCTGATGGAAATAAATTAGCTTCTAATAGTTATGATAACTCTATTCGTCTATGGGATGTCAAAAAAGGATAATAAAAAGCCAAATTAGATGGTCATAGCAATGGAAACTTGCCTTGTCTGTTTCTCCCATGATACCATTTATCCATGTTTGGAATGGCAAAAAAATAATTCTTTTGATTAAAGATA